GGATTGTTTAAAAACGTTTTTGACATTGTTTGTGTGGTAAATTAAGTACATATGGATTGGATACCCATCTTGTGATTTTTTGCTTGTACTTTGGTGGTAAAACTATGGTTCCTGATTTGGTACTTTTATTTATTTTTAGTTATTTGATGGAATACTTTGTTTATGTCGGTTATAGATAGTTCACCCCTTTTGATTTGAGTGGAGAATTACAATTAATGGAAGAACGGGTATTGGTCGTTGTCAATATCTTTTCTCCATCAGAAGATAGAAGATAGAAGATAGAAGAGAGAAGAGTGATGAAGAATTGCCCATATCATTCTCTCAATCTTTATTGAGAGGTTTTATAATAATTCTCTTCTTGTAAGTGTCGGTGCGTAGGGTCGTAATAGTAAATTGTAGGTTGACAAGCTAAATAAATTTGATTGTCAACGCGAAGGGTCGTATTTGTTTATGTTGCGAATCAAGTACAGATGGATACCCATCTTCAGCTTCTGCTGCTTGTTCTTTAGCTGTGCATATGGAATTAAAGGTGGCATGGCATTGCCCAAACCCACCTTTTTCTCTTATTTTCCGGCGTGGGATTTTGAGCAGCAATGGAGACAAAAGGGAAAAAAGAAATTAACCGTTGGGTCACGGTCAAAACAAAAAAACAAGGTTAATTCTAATAAAAGTCCTTAAACTAGTGCTAGACTTCAAAATCAATTCTTAAATTCCTAAACATTCTAATTAAATCCTCAAAGTATTAATATTGTGTTAATTAAGTATAAGCAATTTGTTTTTTGGTCAATTTTTCAACTAAACTGACTAATCTATAAATAATAACAGACCAATTTTTATATTCTAAACCAATATGACTGAATTTGAATGAAATAACCAACAAAGCCATATGTCCAATTGAAAAATCGATCAAACTATATAGAATCAAGTCGAATTATCTGAGGGTGTCATTTTATCAATTTAAACTGTATAGAAACTGATTATTATTATTTTTTTGTCAATTTCATGAGTCGAATCATGCCCTCGATATCATGATTAAGAGACGAGATAAACATCACATAAAATAAAGATGTTGGATTAAACTAAATGGTTATAAAAAGTAAAATAAGAAATGGAAAAACAAAGAATGAAGTTGCGGTAAGAAAAAGACTCAAGAGGGTGGGATATTTGAAGCAGAGGAAGAGTGGGGGAATGTGCCATCTCACGTGTTGAAGTTGTAGTAAAGGACATCATCTCCCCCTAAAAGACATTAAACTTTTAGAAGCCAAAACTAGCCGGTGCTGGCTACCACTGTTGGCCTCAATCTTCCCCCCCAAATACAAATCTCCATATTCTATTTAATGGGGTTCTCGTAATGCGTTATGTTTGCTTTTTTGGTTGGTTGGAAGTGTACATTCAACTTTTCAAGGATTTGGATCCTTCATCCTACCACTGCACCTTTCCTATATTACGCTAACTCCCACCCTACTTCGGCTCTGGGGATTCACTTCAACAAGCCCACACTTCCACTTCAAAACGAAGTTTAATAATATAGAGAAAATTATGGCCATTAAGCTTTAACTTCAACTTTAGTTTTGGGTTTGATGTAAGTAAATTGTTATATCATTCACAGTCGGGTGATATGATAGTTTGATGCTGGCTTGGAGCTTTATTTTGTATATGGATTTTGTTATCGAACTTTAAAACGCTTCAATTTTAGTCATTATACTTTAATTTGATTATCAATTTGGTCATTGTTAGTTAATCATTCTTCGTCATCGTACGATATTTACAAGAAAATTCAAACAATGATAAGTATTCTTTTAAGAAGATGAACATACCTCGAAACTAGTATCATCGGAAGGTCCTTGAAGGAGATCAAAGCATTAGATAGCCGAACACTTAGATAGAGTTCCGTTTATTTTAACTGAATTTCATAGGGGGGAAAACAATCATAGGAGAATAAATATGAGTGAAATAGGAAAGCTTTATTATTGGTATGATAGACGAAGATTGACCGAAAATAATCAAATTGATATATAAACTAAAGTTTCACACCATTAACGATTGAATGACTCAATGCTTACATTGAATGTCAAAGTAAAGTTCACTACTAAATTTGAAGTAACTGAAAGTTACTAGTAAAATCAATATACAATCTAATGTCCAGTGATATTTAGTATAGTTCACACAAAAACTAAAAGATGAAAGTTTGTATTACTTAATTCCTTTATTATATTAGTAGGAAGGTATCAGTAGGTAGCATAGTCATGTATGCATATGGTGTATATGGATGAGTATATGTGTGTTGGCATAGAGCTGCAAGGAATTGTTAGTATTATAATGTAATAATATTCATTGGGTTTAGGGTATGGCAGAAAGTAGGTGGAAAAAATAAGAAATGCTGCATCTTTCTATATGATATATGTCAAACACTAGGGTTGCGGTTTGGGGTTTGAAAGCAGCTCTACTCCCCACCTCGACCACAGTGCTCTCCCACTGTCTTTTACTTGCTAACCTTAATCTTCTTAACTTTACTTTTCCATATACGCCTCTATCATGACCCATTAATTTGATATATGTATTCTTGTTGTCTAATGCAGTTGCTGTTTCTATCCTTTCCTATTCCTCTTATCTCTTGTTTTTGGATTCTTTTTTCTGTGTTCGATATTCATTAAAAAAATTAGATTAAATTTAAAACCGAGTCAAATCAGATCTCATTTCAAAAATATTGTTGTCATGATTCTTTCAGACACGGATGAAACTTTAGAGAGGAAAATATAAATAGTGACAATATATGTGCCATAATCTAATTCTCAAATGAGATGATTTGTATTGTGTTTAATGGGAGACACATGGAACACTTGACGTCTTCACGAAGGTTGAACGTTTTTTCCATTACATAGGGAATGCATGAGCGTCTATGGGTGCATACGACACACGAAAAAATGACAAAAGACGAAAAGTGCTCTTTGTGTCTTTCCCAAGTCGTATAAAAAATTACCACTTCTCTGTGAATTTTTCTATGTTACTATTCAAATCACTATCTTTAAAAGAATAATTTTGACAGTAAAATATGTGAGGAATTTTTAATTTTACCCTTATAAGTTATAACGAGGAAGGGAAACAAAAAAATGACAGTCTACCCTACAGTAATCTTGCCACTTTTCGATGTGTAAAAGTTTCGTTGACTATTTGTATCTATTAAGGGATTATACATACTTTACCCGCACAAAAATGTAACCTGGTTTTGTATATAGAAAAATAACCGAGTGGTATAGTAAAAATGGAAGAGTAACATTACTACTCAATTGTTTTTCTTTGTAATTCTTTACCTTCTATGTTTGTTTTATAATTTAAATTATTTTTCAATAATATTATCTATAAAATTTCAGTATGATTTTCTTTAAAAATAGTAAATATTAGAGTAAATACAAGGTAATATATGTTTAAAGATAATTCTCAACCGTTGACATTGAACGATTGTACCCCTACCATCCCTAGTGCTCGAACCCGAGACTTCAAAAAATAATAACAATTTTTTACCACTAAAGTCATTAGGTTCGTGCTACATAGTTAGATGGTATAATAACACTCTTTTGTTTTTCAATAATTTTCCAAAGTGTTGTTGGCCTTTTATGCTCTAATAGTAAATTTTATGTTCCCAAATATTATTCAGTTCAAGTTGAAAATACTTTCAATATAAAAAAAACTATATATATTTTAATAAAATGCCCCTCTTTTTGTTTTTTTTTTTCTTCTTTTGTATGAGTTTTTAAACTATTTTTATTTTTATTTATGATTAAATCGAGAATAAAAAGTCTAGTCAATTTGATCTCTGGTCTAAATCTTTCGAAATATAATTTTATTTTAGTTTATATTATATAAAAAGTTTAATCTCAAATATAGAGAAAGACTCTAAACAATTGAAAATGAAGTCCAAACCTGTTGAATGCAATATTTTCAATATTAATGTACGAATTGATTGTTAGATTTTATTTTTCAAATCAATATTGAATAATAATATTCAATATGACGATTATTCATAAGTTGACAGAACAGATAGACCTGGTTATTATGATCAACTGTCAGTTGATTCTAACATGTCACAAAGGACATGTAAGATGTTATATCAAAAGATCATGGTTTTCTTTAGAGAGGTAAGATTCTATGTTCGAAAATATTCCTTTTAGGCCTTCATTAAATTGATATCTTCTCGAGATATTGATATAGAAAAAGATGCGAAAATAATGCAACAAATAAATTAATAATTTTCTCTAATATTGATAGATATTGGTATGTGTATGTATATCAATTCAATTATTTTTTTAAAACATAAAATTAACTGACCCTATTCTCATATGTAATGGGATAAGGGGAGGTAGAGTAGTAGGTTGTCTCTAACGCCAGATTGAGAGCAGCTTCTGTGGAAGACCTCCATTATGAATTGCCCTCTGTGGGACTCGATCCCACGACCACAATGTTAAGAGCCTTGTGCTCTACTAACCGAGTATATAAGATAAATATACATATATTATACACACATAATTTAATGCCCCAAATTTTAATGTTTATATTCAATCAATTGAATTTGATTTTCTCGATTTGATTTTGATTTTTACAAATTTTATGAGAATATAAATTTGAAAGTAATTGATTTTTAATAAAATTTGTTTTTCAAAATAAGATCGTATATTTTAGACAAAATCAAATATTAATTATAGTTTAGTAATTGAATGATAACAATAATTGATTATCCATTTTGGCAGTGACAGTAAATTCATGCACCCAACCCCACAACCATTCTCCTTCTTCTTCAAACCCTCCACACTTGATTTCTCCATTTCTTTTTCTCCAACGCCGTTACATGCATTAAAGTATTCATCTTCCATGAGATGTCGTGCTAGCTATCTTGTTTAGAGGAATCCTAAAGCTGCTGTCCTTGTTCTCGTACCATTTTCTGCTTGGATTGTCATTATCATCAATATATATCGTACTTCTTGCAGCGGAGATCTGTCTGTTTTTTGTTTAGATGAGGATTTGAAGAGTGATTTCCTTGTTGTTAATGGCAGCTTGTGATTTGGTAGGTGAGAATGGAAGAGGTAGAAGAAACAATATCATCAACATCAACGAAGAAAACCCAGTGAGAAGCAGCGCCATGAGGAAGAGAATTGCTTCTGAGATTGCCGATAACCAGAGGTTCCCTCGCCGGACTCATCTTGATTCTTCCGATAACAACATGGCGTGCTCTTTCATGGCGGCTAATAACCCTAATCCACTCTTCAACTGCTCCACTATGAGTATGGATAATAATACTACTATTATCAATTCTCATAATTTCTCCGCCTTGACGTCAGCCGGGCCACCTGCTCTTTTATCTACAACACCCTCTAATTTTTCTGCTGTCGTCGACACCGTCTCCTCCTCTAGTCCTCGGCCTCCCGCCGTGTGTGTGTTCTCGGGTTTGCCTTTGTTTCCACCAACAGACCGAAATCGAAACGGAAACGCCAACATTTCCGCCGCTGTTACCGCCGCGTCCGCGAATAATTCCGTCCCTGTTTCTTTAACTCCGATCTCGAATTCTATGGATGATAATTCGGCGACGGCGTGGATAGATGGCGTTATACGGGACCTTATCCACACCTCAGCTAATGTTTCCATTCCTCAGCTTATTCACAACGTGCGGGATATTATTTACCCTTGCAACCCGAACCTCGCTGCTCTACTCGAATACAGGCTCCGTTCTTTAATGGATCCACTTGAACGGAGGAGAAAGGAGGCGCCGTCATTGCATCTGCCGGAGGTAACGTTGCCGAGGCACCATGGTCAACAACAAGGCTCCTCTGGGTTGACGCTTACCTTGGATTCCGCCGTAGATAATCTTCCTAATTGCTCCTTCACCGATTCCGGTGCTATGAATCAATACTTCAGTTGGGGAATAACACCAGTTCCGATATCTTCTAACAATGAGATTAGCAGTAGCCCATCGGCAACGACTACACCGCCGGTTCCATCGTTAAACCAACACCACCTTGCCGAGGAGCAGCCGTTGGTACAAGAAAACGCTTCCCCAGTCGAGAAGACAACGACTTCGACGCCGACGTCCACCGTTCAAGCAGTCCAAGCATGCGGCAGTAGAGACCGGAAAGAGGAGCTACGGCAACAGAAGAGAGATGAAGAAGGGTTGCACCTCTTGACGTTGCTACTCCAATGCGCCGAGGCGGTTTCGGATAATAACTTCGAGGATGCAAATAGGATGCTGTTAGAGCTCTCGCAACTGTCGACGCCGTATGGAACGTCGGCTCAGCGCGTGGCAGCGTATTTCTCGGAGGCTATCTCCGCGAGGCTGGTCAGTTCGTGTCTGGGAATATGCGGTGGACTTCCGTCGATTCCGGCGAGCCATACTCAAAAGATGGTGTCAGCTTTTCAGGTGTTCAATGGGATAAGTCCATTCGTTAAGTTCTCCCATTTTACAGCAAATCAAGCCATACAAGAAGCGTTCGAGAGGGAGGAGAGAGTGCACATTATAGATCTTGACATAATGCAAGGCTTGCAATGGCCTGGACTGTTTCACATTCTTGCTTCGAGACATGGCGGGCCACCGCACATCCGTCTCACGGGGCTAGGAGCCTCCTTAGAGGCCCTGGAAGCTACCGGTAAACGTTTATCTGATTTTGCAGACAAACTGGGGATTCCTTTCGAATTTTGCCCGGTAGCTGATAAGGTGGGGAACTTGGAAGCCGACAGGCTCAACATCAGCAAGACGGAGGCAGTGGCGGTTCACTGGTTGCAGCACTCGCTCTACGATATTACTGGTTCTGATACCAATATGCTATGGCTGCTTCAGAGGTGATTAACATTTTACGATTTATATTTGAAGTTTCATAATTACATGATTAATGCACATTCATTATGATTATACACATACATTAAGGCCGGAGGATCATGCATACACACACACACTCATGTCTTCTTCTGGGATCACTCACATAAATAGAAGCTATTTTGTTTGCATGTATTCAATGTCTGAAGCATATAACTGGCCTGTCCTTGTGACAAAATCTCTGTCATTTTAAGCGGTGTTTTGTATATAATTTAGCATAAATTACAACTTTTATTAAACAGTTAATTCATCATGTTATTTACTTATTGAAGATTTTTTTTTGTAATTTAATATATTTTTCCTTATTAAGTAATTAACCACGTAAATAGATTATAGAAATTAAGATTACTTACGAAGTTTTAGTAGGTGACAAAGGCCAGCAGTACCTTGTTATTTTGATATTACATTGAATTTCTCTATGCCTGTGATCTTTTTAAAGTATTTTTCCCGTAATTTTGTATGAAGTTCGTCTACTGTTATTTGTTATGTAATGTCTAACACTAAAATTATGCAATGAAATTAGTATAATTCAATAACTCAATTTAAGAATATTAGAATTTAAAATGCTATAATTTGATTAAAATTAATAATTTGTAATTTAACATAAATTTTGTTTTCAGGTTGTTAATTTAATGATTAAAATTTTAATTATCTTAATTTATAACATTTAAAAATTTAGAATAGCGTTGATGTATATATATATATAATGTAAAGTATTGTAATAATAATAACATTAGCAATTAATCGATGAATATATATGACCTAACAAGAGCTGTTGTGTTGATGATGAATATAATACCAACGTGTGTTTGGGATTCAGATTGGCGCCCAAAGTAGTGACGGTAGTAGAACAAGACTTGAGCCACGGCGGGTCATTCTTGGGAAGGTTTGTGGAAGCCATACATTATTACTCCGCCCTGTTCGATTCACTCGGAGCAAGCTACGGCGAGGAGAGCGAGGAGCGGCACGTGGTGGAGCAGCAGCTACTTTCGAAAGAGATACGAAACGTGCTTGCACTAGGTGGCCCTTCCAGGACCAGCGAGGAGGTCAAGTTCCATAACTGGAGGGAGAAGCTGCAGCAAGCGGGGTTCAAGCCAATCTCCCTTGCCGGTAACGCCGTCACACAGGCCACGTTGCTCTTGGGAATGTTCCCCTCCGACGGTTACACCCTGGTTGAAGACAACGGTGCACTCAAGCTCGGCTGGAAAGACCTTTGTTTGCTTACCGCTTCTGCTTGGAAACCCTTTCATGCGACCACTACCGCCGCTGCTGCCACGACGCTACACCGCTAGCTTGTTTTCTCCTTTTTTTTTTTCCCACTATGTTTCTTCTTAATTTTCTCTGCCCTTTGGCCATTTATATGTTTGTATGTCTTTAACTTGTTAACGGTGCTAATGCTTGAAGGGATCCACTCTGTTGTGCCCCTTTACGTTCACATTTTGTATTATTATTATGAGATTACCATATGGTTTTTCTCTTTTGCTAAATGAATCAGAGAGGTCGTTGTTTGTTTAGTTTAGTAATTAGTAGTAGTATTTATTACTGCTTTCAATTCAAGCTATTAGTGAACGAAAACATATGAGGCTTCCCCTCCACCATTCTAATTTTATTTCACCTACTAAAATTTCTCGAGTGCTTGGAGGATTTTTAACATAATTTTTATCTCATCGAGTTAAATTCAACATGCAACAATGAAGCATCTATTTTTGACATTTCGTTCTTGGAATAATAACTGGAGGTAATTTTATTCGATCTTTAATTGCTTTTATACTTGTGTATGTTTACAAATGGCACATTAGAGTTTGGACTCTTTAATGAATCGGATCCCTAAATTAGAGAAAAAAATTGAAATTTATTTCATTCATTACAAAATTCTTATTATTATTTTCATTAAAAACATCGAACTTTTTACCATTCAAGCATTGATCCTATGCTTTATCATTTCATGATGTAAAATGGAATGCACATGACAACAACTAAATAAATGGAGATAGGCGTTTCAACCTTGTTTTCTTATTTAGAAAAGATGTAGAAAACACCAAAGGTTATAAAATGTTCTAACCTGCTCACTTTGGCTTAAAAATAGGTTCAATTGTCAAACCAGAAACAATCAACGAGTTGAAAAGAAACGATAATTGTAGTCATAATTGTCAAACGAGTAAGATCCATTGGTTAGACAATTGACAATTGATGGAAGATGTAAAAAGTTTATTAAGAAAAAGGGCAGGAAAACATGTGCACACATTCTCTTAACCCGTAGTTCCCAATTATGGCACCCTTTTGACTATTATCTGCATGACAAGTCTCACTACCCCCCTTATTGCTGTTTCAACCTTTCCATCTATAAACCGAAACACATTTAGAACATGATACTATGTGTGGCAAAACGACAACCATGTTTTTGCCAAAATTCAAAAATGCCATTTTACCCATTTCTCCTCTCTTCACTTACAAATATCATTCAATGCGCGGTAATCCGACGAGTGTTAGTTCGGTTGGTATTGTTACTATTGCTACAACCTAGAGAGACAGTAAGGTGAAATATGTTTAAACGTGTAATGTTCTCTAATTGAAGGGTTAATTAGTGAAATAGACAAAAAATAATAATGAAATAGTAAAATCCAAAAAGAAAAAAGAAAAAAATGAAGGGCATAATAGTAATACCACATTCAGTTGCCACCAGCAAGTCAGCAACCATGGATGCATGTATTTTCTTGAACTGAGAATGGCCATTGAAATTGAAAACCCTTGGAACAGATGCAAATCAAGCCCTTCTCTATGTATGTTAATTCACAAAGGCAGATAATGAATGTTCACTCTCTCTGTGTGTATTCTTCAACAATCACTTCAATACCCCAAATCCATCTTCCCCTATCAACTGTAGCCACCCCCAGAGGTTTTGGAGTCCTTTCTTTTATTTACTGAAAGTTTCAGAATACATACATATATATTGCACCCTTCGAGGTCATCGCAGCTACACTTTTTGTTGCTAGCTAATACCCTTCAAAACTCTATAGCTCGGTGTCGGAATTCTCACCGGCCCTCAAATTTTCCAAGGATTCGAAGTGTCAACCCCACCACTGGCTTATTATGGATTTACATTGCATTCATTCAGAAAATGATTTTCACGGTTCAGAAATTTCTTCCAGTAAACCTTATATTTGGGAATTCCCAGCTCAAGCCAAGGTTTCATATTTCCATTATAGTGCAACACTGAAGCTTTCTTGATGCTTTGAATACTAATCCCATAGTCGTGCCCAAGGCCTGATATAATCCACTCGCTGTCAAGAGCGTAGATTAGGTCCTGAAAAGTAAGCATGCTTGCCAGAACAGATGATTCCTCCTTCACGCTCACCTGTTGTCACCGTAAGAAATGAAAGTCAACGCTGTGAGTTTTCCTAGTTTAATTATTGCAGCTCTGCATCGTTCTATGTCAAATGGATTTAGGTTAGAGGTTGAGTACAGTCGTGCAAAATTAATGTCATTTTTAAACAGTGTTGCAAATGTAATTGAACTGATATGAGATATTATCTACGTAACATTCACTGACCTTTTTCACCAACTCCCAGTAGGTTTCAGAAATGCCTAGCTCTCTCCACCTGACCAGATCAATTACGTTCAATCCAGACATCCACGAGCATGAATTTTCGTTGAAGCTGCTTTTTCCCAAATAACTCTTCAGCTGACCCAATCTCACAGAGCAAATTTGGACAGCACCCATCGGTTTCTGTCCCATGTTAAGTTTCCAGAGTGTTGACAAGTCTTGCCGGACAACAACATCATCGTCCAAAACCACTACTTTTTCCAAGTGTTTGAATACCCCGGGAAGAAGATAATGAGAATGAGAAAAAATGGATATGTATTGTGTTCTATTATGCATTGCTGGTGTTTTACCACTGTTGTGAAAGGAAACTCGAAACTCCAGAGGTGAGTTCAGGTGAGATAGAGTTGTTTTATCGGAGTAATCCAGAATAAGCTGTTCAATATTCAACACCTGAACCACAGCATCCTTGAATGTATTCCTGAGGAACCAGTATTTCATTGCATAGTAATTCTGTCCATCAGTCAGCACGTGAAAAACCTGGTTCGTACTGTCCTGAAATATTGCAGGATAACCAGTCAGTCCCGCCGCTAAAATTCTGACGTAGAACAATGAAATGATATCAAAGAAAGACTAAAACACACCTTTGCATGCATAACAGTTGAGTTTATTACAACTGATGATGCAATGACGTTACTTGAGAATATAACATAGTGTTGTAATGTTGGATCATAGAATTTTTCTGTCAGCTCTTTATTGAATGAATCGTCTTTGAAATATTCTACAGTTAGTCTCATATACAGGCAGTGATGGCTCTTGGGCATCGTCTGGACTGCAAGTTGGTAGAGGAAGGCACTCTGCTTCATGTGGAAATTAGCTTCATCCTCGGTTAGGTCAAATATTTGTCTCAATTTCTTGTCAACATTATTACAATCTGCAGTGACTGATTTGGCTCTGGCTATTGTAGCTTCTATTCTTTCCGACTTCTTTTGAATCCTGATACGAACCAAATAAAATAGACTTGGTGCTGAAGCATCAAATATAAACATTCTGGTGATTCAAAAGAACACAAGATTACTGTGACCGCTATTTACTCAACCAATCTACCAAAAGGACTGACTTAGGGGAGAGAGAGAGAGAGCTTTTTTTTTTGGGTGGGGGTTGATGGTGGAAGAAAACTGCATGACAAGCCAGAATGATATTTAGGCCGCTAATTGAGAATTCCTAATAACAATTTCAGTTAAACTGCCTATCGTAAAATCTAGATATGGCACATATGGCATTAAAATATAAGGCAAGATATGGCACCCAATTACTAAAAGATTGATCTAAGTAAGCTACAAGATAGAGCCTCTACTCCTGCATCAGGACAAAAGCAGCATAAAGGAGAGAAAATGAACAAACAGATCTGACTACAAAAGAACAAATTGTCCATATATTGCATCTGTGTAAAACTTAATGTCCATTTTTTACTATTCCCGGATTCAATAAAATGTCCAGTTTCCCTAAATGAAAATACATTTTTCCAATGTTTCCTTTTGGTGAAATACTAACTTAAGGTGGCTCCTCTAGTTTTTCCAGCACTTGAAGGGTAAAAGTTGGGAAGGACAATTACCTCATTCCTAAAGCTTCATTCTATAGTGGAATTTCAAATTGAAATGGAGTACAGCATTTCATTGCAAACTAACATTTCTAGTTAGTAAATGAATCAGTATCCTCATGGTATCAAACCGGGAGTAGTTGGTCTTATTCATGGAATTCTATGTAGTGAATGACGCACCATAACTTACCCTGGAGGAAGATCCGCATCTGTAGTACTTTCACTAAGGACACGCTCTAGTTCTTGAATATTTAGTTTCAGTTCTCGAGACAACTTGTTCTGGGCTGGCATTTTTGCAACACTGGGAAAATATGCCCTGGCTACAAAAAGCTGGTCCTTCAATTTCTTCATTGTGGAATCTTTCATGTCTTCCCTATTTTCTTCTTTCCAAATGCAGTAGCTCCCATATTTCAACTCACATAATCCCACACTTACATCAATGCCACCTTTAATTCCTGCTTTACCACTATCTTTACTAATCTGCGAGAGAGTCAAATTATTTAGAGATGCTATATAGTACTAAAAGAATTTACTAAATAGCATGTAACAAACTTTTGAGAAAATGCATACATTCTTATTGCTGAGTGGTTGCAGCACAACTTGAGGCGGAATTGGAATACCTGTTGAATATTAAAAAAAATGTTCCAACCAAAATTTAATATAAGGAAATGGTTAATTATTAAAGGCACAGTTAAGAAAACCGAGCTCAACCATACCTTTCTTCTTCTGACTTTTACGTGTGGCATTTGTACTGCTGGTTTCATTTTTAGCTTCATGTACAATGTGTTTAAGAATATCCTAAAGTGAAATAAAGAGAGTTAAAAGCGAACATGACTGAACATGACATATAATCATGATCAAACGAACACAAAAGAGGTAATTTTGAGAGCCTAATCAGGAGTCACAAGGCACTTGGAATATGTGTACCTTAATAACATAACACATAAAAGTTCAGCACTATTATTAAGGTGGTTAATTGCTAACTGTAAAAACAGGTTAAGGTATTCACATTAGATTACAAATTAATGGATAAAAGGAGGAGATGCTACTACAAACATGTGTTAATGCGTAAGTGACAAAAATTAGGGGATCAACTACTAAAATGATGTAGACTACAAAATGAGTTTTTATCCAATCTCTTAATCCCAAATAATTAGGGAACATATGATTAACCACAAGTTTTTTAGCACAAACCCAAGAGAATATACCAGAAAATATAGATGTACCCTTAGGCCATATATTTTTATCTTCACACCCAACAGATGCAGAATATGGCAGACACTACTACTAATGGCTGCAAAATTTAAATTTCTCCAAATTATTAGATGAATCAAAATTTCAGACACTAGAAGCAAAGTAAAGAATCTCTACCCAGAGTTAATACGCCAAATCATAGTTTTTGCTCATTATGCTGTTTGATTTGAAAAAAAAAATTCTTATTTCCTGCCCATTGAGCAAAAAGCTCTAAATTGACCCTGAATATTGGGTTTCAAAAAGGTTGGTATGGCCTAACCCATACTTTAAGCATAAGCAAGTCTTAGATAAAATGATAAACTTACAGTTCTTCTGTTGGGATTCCATTTATGGAATTCAGTATATCTTGGTTTTGCCCCAAACCAATACATTTAATTCTTTGTTTCATCTTTGCTTAGATTCTTTTGTTTAGGCATTAATAGTTATCAAAGATAAAAAAAAGAGCCAGTGATTAGTTTGAAATAGAAGTGTAACATGAACAAAAATGAAAGACTCTTCATGAACTTTTTGGCATGTGAAATTTCAATTCAAGTGAGACTTTGAAAGAACTTGGGTGAAGAACAATGATAAGCAATGAAGTTACAGCGTCATAATATGAGATGCAAGCTCTCACCAAAATTAGAAAATACTTTCTCTGCACAATTCAATGACATCATATTGTCTTTCACCTTTATTGAACTCCCATTCATTCTTATTTTCTTTTCGAATAGAGAACCAAACATAAATCTATTTTATTTGAAATATGACTGAAATATTGAGGTTCTTGATCATACGGTTAAAAAGTTTGTTCATTTCATTTTGTCCTTACACAATAAAGATACCAATCAAGTGGTGAAAAAAGGTTCTATTCTACCTTGTCTTATCTGTCTCAAATTAACTGAACAAGGATTTAACTTCATTTTCCATACTCACTTCTCTTAGTATCATTCATGGATTACAGAACACAATATAATAATACCAGTGCTACATCGGTTCCTTGACCATAGCATCTATAGTCTTGATGAAAAAGGAAATTGTGCGAGGACAGGGGATAGGTAAATTTTGAAACTAGAAGTTTAGATGCCTGCATGTATTTTTTGTCTTAAGCCTCAGTAATTGGTAAGAGACTAATTTTCAGTACTTAAGCCAAAAGAAAACATGTCCAAATTTTCTGCAAATCAGTCTCTATAAATGTATATCCCCAAACAATCTACAGCTAGCACAAGAATATAGCAACTTGACCATCATCTTATAATTCTGTAGCAAAAAAAAAAACTCAAGCTTCATCAACACCAATTATATATGCTAAAAATTCAAAGCATCATATTTCAGAAACAATACACACATTAAGGAGCATCATGAAAAACCAACCTTAGGTAGAGTAGGTCCTAATTTTCTCACAAGGTTATCTACATGTCTTGTACGATCCCCCTATAAGAAAATTCAAAGCACTGATTATTACGACTAAATAGTTTCATCGGAAGATAAAAATTGATTAGCTCATTTACTACTTTAACTTGATGTTTCATTATTTTCTGGATTAAATAATGCATTTGCATTAGAATCAGGAAAAATAAACTACTTACCGAAGGTGAATTGTGTGGAAGAGGCACAAACCCTGCAGGCATAGATAAAGCGCAAATGAAAACGAGTAGAACATAGATGAGTGAGTACAATTAGAGATCTGGTTCAAATTGCTAAAGAAAAAGACTGAGTGAAATCTAGATCTACAAATCCGACTCACGATTGCATACAATGACCTAGTAGGAAACAATTCTAAAAGGATAATAGATTTGATAAAAGGCACCTGGAGAGTGAAATCCATTGTGTAGGCCAAGCAAGAATCCAAGGTGAACCAGCATTGATAAGACCACAAGGAAGAGAACGCCAAAGGCCAGACCTCTCCATCGCCGCTTCGCGGGACCAACTCCACCACCACCTTTCATTTCCTTCCTTTCCTCACCTTCAATGCTGCGATGATTCTTGTTGTAATTTGGAAAATTGGACAAAATAACGATATTATTTACGAATTTCAGTGGAGATGCAGAGACATGGCAAGGCAGCTGCTTTTCTTCGTCAATCCAGTTGCCTCCGCTCTCTAACGGCTAACGGAAACCGCTATTATTGAGATTCCTGTATCTGTGGCAGCTTCTCTTGTGATTTGTGGTTGAGATTAAGCCGGTGGTGCTACGGTTGCTGAATCTTCCTCGTCACTCGTCAGTCTCGTGTACGCATCGCATTAGTACCAACTGTAATAATAGGCCCAAATAGGCTCGAGTTTTCAAAATATAAGAGATACTCACTCAGTGCAGCAAAAGAGGGGGGGGGGGTGTTGGCGCAATGTCAATGACAAGTGGCGACGAAACTAGCTGTACGTGGGAGATGTACATTACCACATTTGCCACCATTATCTCCCTTTTATAATCTGTATTTGATGGCGATGTTACCATGTATGTACGACCCTAATTTTAAACTTGTATGTTTGTTAAATAAGGAGAAAGTTGTTGCTTCAACTTATCAGCCCAAATAGATAACTGAATACAAATTAGTTAGAGATTATGACTAATTTATCCTTTAAAAATTTAATTAGAACAAAATTTTACTTGTACTAAGTATCAAAGCACATCTTAGAATATAAACTCCACCCGACATCATCTAGTCAATCAGATTAAATCCTGAAGATGTAGATCTCAGATTACATTTATAATAAACATATACTACGATCTAGCAGTACTAGTAGAAGTAGAGTGGGAACAGTAAGCTGTAAATTGTTTGTTGGTAGAAAATGTCATTCATTGTCCTTTAAACCTAATATGAAGATCTGGTCCATAATCTTCTGCTTCTGGGGATGGCAACGGGTCGGGTTCGGGCTGGGTATTGGTCTCCCATCCACGTTCCCATTTAAAAAAATCGTACCCGTTTCTGCTTAAAAAATCACGGGAATTTAAACGGGATCCCCATCGGGTAATCGGGGAAAATCACGGGGAAACGAGTATCTTCGTTTAGCATAAACGGTTATTTAAACGGGTATCGGGCCGGGTATCAGGCCGGGTATATATATTTAAATTAAATACATAAATATTATATGTATTTTTTAATTTAAATTAAATTTATTAATATTATATATATATAATTATTATTTTTAATATTTATTAGGTCGAGTAATCGGGATAGGGATTACCAAACCCGTCCCCGTTTAGCATAAACGGTTTTTCTCCGTCCCCAAACCCAACCCGTTTAATTCAATTTTTGATTTTTCCCGCCGAGTTCAAGTTTTTTTGCCATCCCTATCTGCTTCTGCTTCTGCTATGTTTATAGGCATAAAGTCCAAGAGAAGAGCCATCAATGTTCAAACCAGCACTTTCATTTAATCTTTACCATAATTATATGTGATGCTACCGTATGCTCTACGTCGTGAGGCCTAACGCATGTTGTTGATTTCTCAATAGTTAAGGGAAATGTTGTTCTTTCTTGAGATTATAAGTTTAAGTAATTGCATTGTAATCGCTCTGAATTATTAAAAAATTATAATCAAATATTACATTCTAATCGCTCGGAACTATTAAAAAATTGACACAATTAACTCTAAAGATAATACTGTTGATTTAAGACATTATGAGAAAAAATATTCAATTTAAAATTATATTGATTATTAAAGAGATTCGGTGCGATTAATCTAAAAACTAATTAATAATAAAAAGATTATTTATGATTATAATCTACCAATAAATAAAAAGGGTAATTACAAATTTTTATCACTTAATTTTCTTTTATCTCCTATTATGAACATTAAAATTTAAAAATAAATACTTATTAATATTTTAATTTGATCTTATTTTGCTTACTCAAGTATTAAATTAGAGATGAGAAAATGGCATGGTAGCCATGTATGTTGACATTGAATGTTATTTGTTCATATTAGATTCAAGTGTCATCCATGTCATTTACACATTTTTAAATTTTACTTTTTTCTCTAAAGATAAAAATTTTATAACTTAATCATTATGTCACGTTAATGCTGAAATCACCATTTTTTAATGTATTTACCGACCACTTAAGACACTAACAAACTCGTCTCAACATATTGTATCATTCTATCAATTTATTTTTTTTAATCACTTTGAAACTCAAAACTCAACCAAAAACCTAAAATTTGTGAAACTTTAAATCACTTCAATCTACACTTTCTAGCATCCAATTAACGTGGAATTAAGATACGCGTAACTTTTCTGGCCAGGTTTTGGGCGTGCTAGCAGCGACTTCACCAGGATGTGGAGAGGCGGGGCTTGCTGAGATACATGCTTTCATTGTCGGACTCCGACTTGCACAAGAGAGTCCTTTGACTCAAGTGATCTTTGAGAAGAATTTGGCTATGCTGTTTAATAAGGTTACTCGCACAGTGACTGATTTGTCTACTTTAAATTTCCATCTTCATGATGCGTGCCAGATTTTGACAAGTAATGTGGATTATGTCGTTCAGCTTATTTCTCGTGATTGTAATAATGTGGTGTAAGAGTTAGCCTCCTAGGTTCTTCGGTTTGGGATTTGTTGTAATTTGACTCGGTTTGTCTCAAGATAATTTCTATGGTTGTATTGACTGATAATAGTTTATGGTAATATATTTTGGGTACTCTTTTTCCCTAATAAGGGTTTTTAATGAGGCATGTTTATTTTAAAAATATATATATATACAATACACTGGGAAAAACTGCCGAGATAATGCATGCGGGAAACGTTAATTCCCAAAATAATCTACTAAGACTATTATTTCCCCAAATGGGGTGTTTGCTACATATAACATGTAAAGGTTGGGATCTCTCGGCGTCATTAGGGAAAGGGTTTAGGTTGTCTCGATGTCTTCAGCTTACATTGGTTCAAAGGATCTCTTGGCGTCTTCAACATAAGAATTTCCATGCATGAAATGGAATGCTCGGTGTCTTATATGCAAATTATACGTTGTTTGGCAGCCATGGCTTGCATTCATTCAAAGGATTTGTCGGCGTCTTTAACACAGAATATCCATGCATGAAATGGATTGCTCACCGTCTTCTAGGTTCGTTCAAAGGATGTCTCGGCGTCCTCATTGATAAAAATTCCAATCAAACTTGGATTTTCTCGACCTCGACGTGAGCAGCTGATGCTGCTGAAGCTGGTGTATGTGGGGCATGTCGACATGAGCAGAGAAGGTGCAGGATCTTGCATGCATGCATGCATTGGGATCTCTCGGCGTCTTCTTCATATTTAATGGGAGATGTCTCGGCGTCTTGTGCATGCAGGATCTCTCAGCGTCTTCTTCAGCCTTGGGGGTGGAGTTCTCGGCGTCTTCTTCATCAGCATTGCATGCACGGGCCGCCAATAATTCAATGCAATGGACGTTTATAAGAGGGTTCGATTATGGAATTCATATGAGTTAGTTTGAACACCAATAATTAAATGTCAATAATTAATCGAATTAATCATAATGTCAAAGAAAAATTTATATAAAAGCGTATATTTTATTAATGCAAAAAGCATTAGGGCCCAAGATAACATTAAACAAAAGTATACATAAAAGCATTAATTTTATAAAGTAGCACTACTAAACAAAAGCATTAAGAAAGGTAACAGGAACTATATTTATTATATAAAAGTGAATCATGCACGCAATAATGTAAACGAAAATGTTGCATGGTGTAGGGGATGAATCGGAAATCACTCCATGATATGCGACATGTGAAGCAATAATGGTGTTGTTAATGCACTGAATATGATTTATAAATAGGAGTCAATGGTGTTTGGGAGAGTGAGTGTGAGTTCGAGGAGAAGTTAGCAGAGAAGAGAAGAAAAACTTATATGTTCGAGAGTTATTTCGGGAAAAAAGGAGAAAAAAAGTTCGAGCAAATGAAGAAATAAATTGAATATTTAGTAAGTTTTATTTATTGCTCCATTATTTTTTATTTTTAAATAGAAATTAATTAGATAAATTTTTTTTATTTTAAAGAATGAACTATATTTATGATTTTGTTATTAAGTAATAACTCGAGTATGTTAGTGGTTGGTGATTATTAATTATCCATTAACATCTCGATAAGTTGGTGGTTGCAGGTTATTAATTATCCATTATAATTATGAATGTAATTTATTCTGAATATCTATATTTTTACGTGTAGAGAAAATGAGCAACAAATTTTTCACGATTGTCCATTTAATGGGCATATGATGGAAAATGAGGTCGGAGTTATTTTTCAGTCTGAAGCACCTATAAATATGATGCTTAAAAGGGACATCACATTTGTAGAGATGAAGGCGAGGATAGAAAGAAAAATTTGTGCTACTATTGATGGTTTGAGGTATAGATTTATAGTATGTCCCAATCCGGTCAGGTATGCTACAATACCAGTTAAAGAAGATGATGATATAATAGCTATGGTTGAATTACATGACTCAACAAATATTCCAATTATTGAGTTATTTGTTGAGTTGTGTAATATATCTAATGTGCCTGGGTCATCGAGAAATGCAGTTGGAACTTCATCTCAAATGGGTTTCGAGAGACAGTTCGATAACCCGACATATAGGTCGATGAACAACTTTGTGGCGATGTTGAAAAGTGCAAATGAAGTTGGTGGAACATCTGGAGCCGCACAGTATGACGCTGAAAACCGATGGGAAGAAATACTTGAAGATTCCGGTGAAGATGAAGAAACTGAGGAACCTCATTTGGCTAAGGATGACGTCATGTTCGATGGTGATGAAACTGATATCAATATTGGTGAATATCTGACACCGTATCAACCTACCCCTCATATGCAGGAGATTGATTATGAAGCAATGAGGGCACCTGAATTCCCAGAGATGCCACATTTAACTTCAGGCTACATGATTGAATCGTCCGATAACTCTGGTGAATTATCAACTTTACATTTGATGTTAATCTTAAACATAAACTCTTTCACGTTATTGTGCGCCAACCCCGTTCTTTCTATTTTATGCCTCCATCTGTATACCAATCAAAATAAAATTATGTAATTATTTTTCATTTACAAAATATTCTTTATTTAATTTAAGATAAAATTACCTTCCGGCAAGAGGAAAGTCAACTGCAGTTCGGCTAATCGGTGTTAACCATGGAATTCTGTACCACGCCCACGATTGTAATAACATCGTGCATCCACTGATTTCAGTCGTATACGCATCATTTACAAGTAATGACGCCTTGCACATCTCGCGATACAAGAACGCCAATATTGCTGATCCCCAGCTATACTGACGGGTCATAAAGAAGTTCTCCAAAAACGGAAGATATTGTATATGGACAAGATTACTGGATTTATCCGGCATCAAGATTCCGCTGATCTACCGTAATATATATGCTCAAGTTGCATATATAATGTCTTGTTCACTACAATGAGGATCGAGCTTAAACTCATTTGACAATCAGGATAATCTCAGTTGTGACCCTTTTGCTATATCTTTGTCTGGTACCTTCCCAAGGTAACGCTCACATATTGCAAACACGTCAAGATCGATATTTCCCACCACTTCCATTCCATTTATAGGAACCCCGAGTTGTAAAGCCACATCCTCCAAAGTGATTGTATATTCACCACATGGAAGATGAAAAGTATGAGTTTCTGGTCTCCACCGTTCAATTAATGCATTTATCAAACCGGAGATCAACCGAAATTCTCTTACAAAAACAACATCATAAAAACCAACTATTTTCAAATTATCAACAATACATTGATCTGGTATCTCACAGTTGATAAGTTGAGGATGAAGGACTTGTTGTTCATCATCCTGCAAATTGTTAATCCATGTAATTAGAATTAATTCACCGTTCTCAAATAAAAAAAATAAGTCGATCATATTACCAGTTCTCCCAAATGACTCGATATATGTCGACCATCTAGCCTCAAAAGAACATTTTCTTCTGCCATGTTTCAACAAATCTAGACAAAAAATTTAAATATTACACTCAAATATTACATTGTTTTATTCAAATAATCAATTGCATGTTATCTACTTTAATAAAAAAATAAAAATAAACATCAAATATAAAACGATCAACCTTTGCAAGTGGAGCTTAAATCGGTTATTACTTCATTTTCGTCTGTCTATTACTCATCAGTCTCACATGAATTTTCAAGCCTTACTTTCTAATTTACTCCAATAACCTTTTCCTAATTACAAATTGGTTCTTAATATTTTAAAACTTTGTAATATAATCTCTAAATTTATAAATTCTTTCAAATTGAACCAATTAAGCATATTAATACTAAATTCCAGCATAGTATACCAACTTTTAATAATTTACATCTTATTCCTTAAATTTCTCAAAGTTTGCAAAATGGTCCCTATAACTTTACAATGGTCCAAAATGGTCCAAAGCTTATTTCAAATTATGTAACAACATATACATCATTATTTCGACGTATGTAATAACATATAATCATAAAATTAGTAAATGTTGAAATGAATATTATTAGATCCATATGAAACACCAAACCTATAAAACAAGAAGAAAATGAGATATAGGGCTTAGTTTAAATTACCTCAAATTTTTGAGGACGATGATGGATATGCCTCACTCTTTTTGCTTCGATGTCCTCCCTCTCACTCACTCTCTTTGCTTGCCAAGCTTTTGTAATGATAATCTAACAATGAAGAAAGACGCTGAGCCGAACACTCTTATAAACATGTTTCCAACACATCTCGTGCATGCATTATTATGAAGAAGACGTCGAGACATCCTCCTACCATGTGAAGAAGACGCCGAGTACTCCACCCCAATTTGAAGAAGACGCCGAGTAATCCTTTAATGATTCACATGCATTCTTCACGATTCAGCAAACGCCTAGGCCCCATACAGCTCTCTGCTCGCCCCGTGATATTTCCCTACTCACCCGTGAATTCCCACAGCCCCACATGCAGAGCTCCCACTGCCAACCAGGGCCACATGCACAGCTCCCACTCTTAACAACACTATAAGACGTCGAGAGATCCGTTAGTGAATCCCATACCTCTGAAGACGTCGAGAAATCTTAGTTTTCTGTAGCAAACACCCCATTTGGGGAAATAATAGCATTACAACATTATTTTGGGAATTAACTTTCCCCATTTGCATTAACCTGACAGTTTAGCCCAATTCACTTATTCTTTTTTTCAATTTCCCCAAGAATATATTTTATTGTCAAGAAATAAAAATAAAATGTGAAATTTTTCACACACAAAGAATCATTTTTAGAGTATTTCATATATTTTATATAAAAAAATGTCCAATCATAATGTTATTAAGTATTTAATGATAAAATGATTAAAATAGAAGTAAATCTAAAGTTAAGTGAGTAAATTAAAAAAATTGATTTTAGTGACTAAAATAAGAATGAAGAGAAAGTTGAGAGATATAGTTTGTAATTTACTCTAATAAAAAAGGGAAAGGGCTGTGGTGGAGACATGTCTCTTCGACTTTGAGATTAATATTTAGGGTAAACTATAAATCTAGTACCTAAATTATTATTTTTATTTTGTTTTAGTATTTAAATTTTCATTTGTTTTAAAACCATATATAATGTTTAGTTTATATTTCATTTTAGTCCCTGTAATTAAAAAATTTAACAGAATTATTGCAACATAGTATTTTTATGAGTAAATGACATCATTCATCACTTAATTATCTTCTTACTCCTATTTTGATCATTAAAGTTTAAAAACTTTCAATTTAACTGCTCAACTTTCAAATTACTCATGATTTAATCACTCTAATTTATTTGATTAATAATTTTTGTGACATGACATTTTTAATATTATTATTTTAATAAATAATTAAAATAAAAAAAATTAAACTTGAAAGTTATAATGATTAAATTAAGAGTAAATTGAATGTTAAGTAATTAAATTAAAAAATTTAAGCTTCAGTGATCAAAATAAGAATGAAAAGATAATTAAGTAATTAATGATGTAATTTACCCATATAAATATCATTGTAGTAGTTCCTTTAAATTTTTAACGTTGAGATACCAAAACGAAACATAAAATAAATATTAGATATAATTTTAGAACAAATAAAAGTTTAGATGTCAAAACAAGATAAAAGTTTAGGTGTCAAAACAAGATAAAAGTTTAGATACTAAACATATAACTTACATTAATATTTAAGTGTAAAATCAAGGGATTGCGGATGGAGAAGAAGCGGTTGTAGATTGAAGGCAGGGATCCAATTTTGAAGTGTGCAAAAGTAAGGGTTCTCTTTCCCTCAACGATTTCTCTTGCTTTTCTCTGAGGTATTCCCTATGTGCAAGCTTTTTCTTCCTTATCAATTCCATATGTTTTCTTGTATGAGATGGGTTTTTTTTATAATTTATTTTTGGTTCTCGAGGCTCCAGCCCAGGTAGATTCCTTGTGTTCTCATCTGTTCAAGCGTCATGGCTTCAAAGCGGATTTTGAAGGAACTCAAGGATTTGCAGAAGGATCCACCTACTTCTTGCAGTGCAGGTATCATCTCAATTTCTATATATTTAATACTTGCTTTTTATTATTTGCAGTTGAGTTTTATGTTCTGTGTTTTGGGTTATTTATGGTCAGGCCACCCTTTAATTTTCCCCAATTGCGTCATTTGTTTTAGCTTATGAATGAATGGATTAAATTCCTAACAAGTTTTTTCTGCAAATTGCTTCGTAATTATATATTTGCACACACAAGCTTGCTTTTATCCGATCTCGGTGCTTATCTCTGAAACTTTCTTCTCATGAATGCTGGTGTATCTGAAAGTTATCTGAAACTTTCTTCGTAATGATTGGGATGCGATGTGCTGCTGTTATTATGGTATAAATGTTTATTTCCATCTGCTTAGAAAATTGAGTGCTTGCGTTGATTCTTGGGTATAGTTAAGTGGCTTTTAAGCCGTGACCCACTCTCAGGTTTGAGGATGTTTCCGGATTACGAGTCATTGCCATTATTTGCGAATCATTATTGTTGAGGGATCTTCAAATTCCTTTAGGGAAGGCTGTGAAGTGCCGTCCCTCTAACAACTGATCGAACCCCCAACAATCGGTACTGTATTTGTGGGGTGTCTGTGCTCAGTTTAAGCCTCGGGATTTGGTCTACTGTACTCCTGAAGAGGGTGTTACAAGTGCCCTTTTGGGTGGTTGAGATAGCCACAGGCGACCCACCAAGGAAACTACATTGTTTTGCACTTGGTGGGGTTTGAACTCTTGTTCTAAGTCAGATAGGAGATTTGTTGGGTAATATGGTACCACTTGTGAATATTATTGTGCGCCTGTAGTAAGTTTGTGAGGATGCATTCTTCCTCTTCTTTTAGTTAATAAAAGGATAGTGGTTAATGGTCATATGTAGGAATGGACCGAAGGGCGGCGGGTGGGGCAATCACCCCCTGAAAATTTAAAATTACCTTATATTTTAGATTTTTTCTATGTATTTTCTATTGAAAATCTGTTTTCATCCCCTGGAACTTTATAAGTTTGTCATCTCCGAAATTTTTAGAAGTTCGTCCCCCTAACATAAATTTTGTGTCCCTCCCTGGTCATATGCATCGATGGATGTTATTTAATAACCTTTGACTGCTTTGCATTGTCTGTAATAGGTCCTGTAGCAGAAGACATGTTTCATTGGCAGGCAACAATTATGGGCCCCTCTGATAGCCCTTATGCAGGAGGTGTATTTTGGTTAATATTCATTTTCCTCCTGATTATCCGTTCAAGCCTCCTAAGGTATTATACCGTACCTCTTCGTGGTATGTTTGAAAAGACAGTTTTTAGTGGTAATATACTCTTTTAATGGTGATGCCAATTTTTTTTGTTTAGGTTGTGTTTAAGACCAAGGTCTTCCATCCTAACATTAACAGCAATGGGAGCATTTGTCTTGATATCCTAAAAGAACAATGGAGCCCTGCACTAACGATTTCCAAGGTTTGACCATGCCCCATTTAACATTATGTGGTAATTCTAGTACGTTATACAACTTGCATTTCTATGAGAAGATAAAATGAAAATGGCACTTTGCAACAGTTTTGTTCTTCAATGGGTAAAATGACTGTCTATTGGTTGTAGGTCAGACTTGTGCTTCAATGAGTCTCGATGCATTCGCATAAACTTGAACCAATCACTGCTTTTATTTTTGTGAGTTTGGTTTTATGTCTGGAGATTGATTGATAAACATCATAATCCATGACCCAAAGACTGACCTTCATCAAATTCAAATGAATCGCACTGGGAATATATATACACCTTATACCACTTTCGATGATGAACTGTTCTATCAGTATCACTAGTCCTTTCTTGCTTTGACTCTGCACCGCTGTTGCTGCTTATTGGAATTTTAAGTAAATTTGGTCAAAATCAATAGAGTTTGTTTCAAAATAGAATTCCTTGTAGAAATACTAACTCGAGTGCAAATCAGGTTCTGCTGTCTATCTGCTCACTGTTGACTGATCCTAACCCTGATGACCCTCTTGTTCCGGAGATCGCTCACATGTATAAGAATGATCGGGCCAAGTATGAAACTACTGCACGCAGCTGGACCCAGAAGTATGCAATGGGTTGATGGTGGTTAGCATGTAATACTCGCGGGTTTTGTACGTCATCGGGTGTTTTATCTTTCTTATATCTTGTTCTGGGAACAGGGATTGTGTTTTCCTAAAGGAATTTGTTATGGTGTTTATACATTTCGACATTGGAGATACAAGAACAGGGCACCTTGCATTCCAAGTAAAACAAAACTTGTTATGATCGTGCTGAATGTTCTGGCTATTGTTATGAAAGCATTTTGTGCCAATTTAAATTTATAATTTCCGTTCTTACAAGAATGGAAATGGACAATCTCTCTCTATCTGTATACGTCTTCTTCTGCTGCTGCTGGCAATGCCAGGTGACATCAATGAGCAACAGGTCTGTGTATGAATGAATGATGTAGTTTTTGGTTGTGGTTATGGTTGCATGGCACTAATCTGAAATGCGAAAGGTTTTTGGGTAAATCTAAAATCTTCATATGGAATTGTACGCATAAAAGTTTGGATCATGGAAGCAGGATTAGTGATGAAGTTTGAGTTCTAAAATAAGACTCTAATAACTCAAAATTTTAGTAATTAGTGGATTGATTTTTAAGTTTTAGTTGAACCTTCTAACTCTATATGGTATATGCATGCCACATAAAAAATTTGAAGATATATTGTATATAGTTATAGAAAAATCGTTTAAATTAAAATCAGTTAGTATAATAGCATTGTAAACATTTAAAATTAAATTCAAATAAAAACTCGAATAACTTGATTCGAAACAAAAAAATTCAAATAAAAATTAAAGTTATAAAATATGATTTTTAAACAATCAAATACTCGTAGTCATACCTAAACAGGATGGTGCGGTGCAATTTATATGAATATGAGAATATGGAGGCCAAGTAATTGTATTGTAATGTTCAGCTGTCACACTTTTACTTTTGCATTTAGTGCAACAGCTGGTTGTACCCATGTCCCAACCAACGCCAACTGCCCCCATCTACGTCGTGCCAGCTTATCCCGATATTCTTTCCCATGTGAAACATTTCGGCTAATCAATCAATTTTGTGAATGGAAGTTGAACAACATGAACCCCACCCACATGGATCCCTATTCCTACGTTACCACATTGCTTTAGCCCTTTCTCAACATTCAACAAAACGACACCAATGGTGTGGAACCATACCTTGTTTTCTATATATAACTTATCAATGGAGTGGAAGCAAACACACACACTCTTCACCAAATTTTAGATACACATCGCAACTGGTTTTGATCAAAACAAATATATATTAATAGATCAAATGAATACAACAAAGAAAAAAAAATGGATTCCAATGATGTCAATGGCCCTTGTCATGGCCATTGCTGATGTCGAATGCTAATTTAACGCCCCTTTGGGTTCATGATCTGTGAGAAAACAGCACTTGGTGTTAACCCATCGGAGTCTGTACTAGCGAGACTTTGACCGCCGATGCTCATACTCATACTCATTCCGCTACTCCTCGAATCGGTTATGTTACCATCGAAACCGGGGGATGTGTTACAATCTTTCTTGACTTTACATGTTATGTCATCGTATGTCCCTTCCTCGATGTCCATTCCACTGATTCCCTTGCCACTCTCTTCCGCACTCTCTTGTAGTTGCAAGGCGAACTCCAAGTTCCACAGCACATCGCCCATCGACGGTCTATCGATCCCCTGATCAGACACGCACTTCATCGCTGTCTCAGCAAACTTTTTGAAGCATTCTGGTGCTATCTTTCCTTTAAGATAAGGATCAATGATTTGATCAAGGATGCCTTTCTTGTGACAATGTGGTGCCCATTCTGCAAGGCTCACTTGCTCCTTTGGCAGCGTGGGATTCAATGCCGGACGAGCGCAAAGGATCTCGAACAGGACGACCCCGAATGAGTAGACATCGGATTTATCGGTTAGCTGTTGCCGCCTGAAATATTCGGGATCCAAATAGCCAAAGCTACCCTTCACGACGGTGCTCACATGAGTATGATCCAATGTAGGGCCTGTTTTCGACAAGCCGAAATCGGAAACTTTTGCTACCCACTTCTCATCGAGCAGAATGTTTGTTGTCTTGACATCACGGTGAATGATCGTGTATTTGGCACCGGTGTGGAGATAGTGCAAACCGCGAGCAGCCCCGATGCATATTTCGAGCCTCTGCTTCCATGGAAGAGGGGGCTTTTGTGTTTTGTAGAGATGTTCACGCAATGTTCCATAGGCCATATAATCATAAACTAGGATCATCTCACCTTTCTCTTCACAGTAACCGATCAACGAAACAAGGTGGCGATGGCGGAGCTTGGAAAGCATTTCAATCTCGGTCTGGAACTCATGTACACCTTGATCCGATAGCGGATTGCCCCGTTTGATTGCGACTTTAGTAGTCCCACCATCAATTTCACCCTTGTAAACTTTGCCAAAACCTCCCAACCCAAGGAGCAAAGCATCATCAAAGTTGTTTGTGGCAGCCTTGATCTCCGCAAACGAGAAGTGGCGGCAAAGGTTCGAAGGCAGGGAGGAAGCATAGCTCCCCGTGGTAGTTGTCTTTGCTGAACCTGCTGAGTGTGAATTTCCATACAATGAAAGAGGAAGCCATCCTGAAGGACCATCACTTGTGCTTGTGTCCTTCCCATGCCTACGACGCAAAGCAATGAAAACACAGAAACCGATTACAAGCATCAGGACCACCCCACCACAAACTCCACCGGCAATAATCACCGTCTCATTCTTAGAACGACCTGTATCAGATGGTAAAGCCAACGAAGGATTCACTGTGTCCTGTTTCGGACCAGGGATAGGATTAGGCCCTGCAAGGTTGTTGTTCGGATCATTTATCTTGAATATCTCCACACCATTTAAGATTGCATCATAATACTGAGGCTTGTTAGTCTTGTCCGGATGCAGCGCAAGCCAAAGATCCTTCTGAGAATTCCCACCGGGAACAACCACAACGTAATCTTTATACATCGGAACATCGACTTGTTCCGCCATGCCAATCACGTCAACCCCTTGCTCGGCAGTTTGATTATTGAGGAAAACATCAAACACTCTCTGATTGATCTTAGTAATATTATCAGTAAATTCACAGAAATGTAACCTCACCAAGTAAGAGAATCCAGAATCAATGCTGAATAACCATGTCAAATTGTAGTTTTCGTTTATTTGAGCATTCGGCCCCATCGATCTAGCCGTCGTGTAAACACCCGTCGGAGCGATATATGTCGGCATGGTCCCGTAATCAACGGTGACATTCGGATCAGCAGATGCAGAAACACCAAAGGCAGCACCAAAAAGGTACGGTTGATCATCGTACCAAGACCGGAAAAGACCCGTATCACCGGAAGGCGAGATATCGTTTCCGCCAACATTCAACCTATAAACGTTCTCCAGAGCCGTGGTGTTATCAATGGTGAACGGAGCTTGTTGACCAACGACCGGCACCCCATCGGGATTACTGTAAATATCAGGCATTGACAATACCTCGATTCCATTCACAAACGCATACTCGTTACTGGAAGAGGGACTAAACGTTAAGTTCAAAAAATCACCGTCGACATTAACGGAGTACTCCTTGACAACGAAAGCATAATTCAAAGCTTCACTCGTTTGAGCGGCGCTGAAATTCTTGAGCAGAGTAAAGGAACCGCTAGTGACTGAAAACAAACCATTGGTTGCATTTTGGCCGTCGTATGAATTAGCGTAGAAATATAATCTTACAAATTTCCGGCCGGCGATCACCGGGAAACTGTAGGTGAAGTTGGAGCGGAAAACGCGGGCCGTCAAGTACGGAACTTCAGGTACCGCGGGATCTTGCGTGGCGGCTCGAGAAATGACTGAGTTACTGGTTCCAACAAGGAACTTGGACCCGATATCCGGCGTCCACTTTCGATTATCGTTGTCGGGTAGCTCGGCTTTTTCGCCGCAGTTTAGGAGGATTTTCTCGGTTGGTACATAGTCAGCAGCTGAGATGAGTTGAAATAGAAGCAACAAGGAGGCGAAAACGGCGACTTGCGTCGGAAAAGGTGGATTACCAGCTGAGTTCCTCATGGACTCAGTGAGTCTAAACTAAGTTCAGAGAAGGAGAAGATTTGATCTTTGAGAACAAATGAAAAAAAAAGAATCAAATTGAAACCCAGAATTCCTCAGCTAAAAGAGATTTGAGATTCAAAGGACAAAAGGTAGCTATTTGAGAAACGAGAGATAGAAATGGAAGACGATGGCTATAGAGAAGAGAGAGAATAATGGAGGCTTGAGGTTGAAGGAGAAGAAGCATAACCGACCGCCCTTTCTACTTAATCAATTTGATTAAAAATATTTATATTTATTAGTTGCATTCTATAATTGATTGCAAATTCAACGTTCAATTAGTAGCTGTATCTGTAGCTGTAGCTGTAGCTGTAGCCTGTAAGCTTAGCTTAGAAAGAAAGAAAAAGCCTTGAATGATATCTTCACAATCTTTTCTAAAAAAAGATAATATACCTTTTTAGTTTTTATATTTAATATGATTCTTAAATTGATAAAATAAAATTAATTTGATTTTTTAATTATTGAAATCAAATATTAACTATAATAACAATTTTTCTTCTATGAACAAAATTAAAATAGAGAAAAGTATGTTTTCTATTTTTTAAAATTCATTGTATGTTACCTGTCATTAATGATCATTCTTAAAGAATTATATTAAAGAAAAAAGTACATTAAAATAAAGCAGGAATATATAAAATTAATGAATAAATAAGCATGACATGGAGACAATGAGGAGAGGTTTCGATATTGACGCTAGTAATACGAGTGATGATGGGATCACAGATAGACGACGCGTCTTCTTTATTTGGGTGTTTTCATTTCGTCGCTAAAATACAAACGTGGCGGTGCGTTTATTAGAGCTCGGCTGGAGATTTTGAATTTTGGGTCTAATGGAATATTGCATGTGGGAAGAGCGGCCCACGTCCACCTGAGCTAGCTTGCAGCTCATTATCTAATATTATAATAATAATAATTTTAATCTGTAAAATTTATAATTTTTTTATAAATTTAATATTTAATTATATTTGATTTTTTTATAATTCTAACCTCTCCTATCTTTTTCTTACATCACGTTTTTTTATATCATCGATGATAACATTAGTTCTAAACTAATGATCGATCGTCATTTTTTTTCTTTTTCCTTTCTCGGGATTTTCCTTGACTTTTGTAGTATTTTTAATTTTGTAAATTAACTTTATTTTATTTTTTATGAAAATATAGATGATTTTATTTATTTTTATAATATTTTTTTGTTTATGAATACAATATGACGTCGATTTTTTTAAATTAACAGTTATTTTGTTGATCTATTATGTTTTGGATCATTGAGTTGATTAAAGATATATCATAGTTAAGAGTGATAGTCAATTTGTCAACATGCCATTATTATTATATTTATTTTTATGTTAAATTTATTTAGGGATGGTCAAAACCCGATTTGAGTTTTAATGTTTTTTAATTTTAAAATATTTAAGTCAATTTTTGAGCTCGAATCAGATTTAAATTTTATCAATTTGGAAAATCAAATTCAACAAATTTATTATTTAATCCATGATTTTTTTTAATTTCTTCTTTCATTTTATGCTAATTGTAATCAAATTCGAACCACATGCTTCTAAATTACTGGAAAATGCCTATGTAGCAACATTTTTGCAAGAGTTATTTCACGTAGTTGGTTGCCTTGTGGATGAAGCATATGTTGAAATTCTTGCTTATTTGCTTAAAATGCAATTTTGCTCGAAACAGTTCGTATAGATAGTGTTCTTGTCTTGGCAACTGAGGATCGTATTGATTTGTCGAGAGGAAGCCATTGTCAGAAGCCGCCAATGGCCGAAAACATAATCAATCAGCTCATGCAATATACATATATATAAATACAAAACTTAAATGCCATATAATGCAGGTTCAAAACCTGCGACCTTCGGGTTATTAGCACCACACTCTAATCAACTGAGCTAACAGGACATTTGATTATTTTGGTCGAATGCATTGAATGGTTCAATTCGGAGACATTAAACAAGAAACAATTTGCAACAAATAATTAAGAAACACGTGATGTAAAGGAGAAACCATGGAAATGAAACAAAAATAACAGCCACTGGGAAAAAATCAAAGCATGGGTTTGTAACAGCGTTATCGGTACGTTAAGAAATTAACAAGACCTAATTCTACCACTACCATCCTCCCTACCCTTTGGAATGATACATCTAAAAGGGTCATGATGAAGCACAAGCATATACAGATAAAGAAGACGAGCCTCTGTTTTTCAGAAGAACGGGAGGTATGGAAGCAACTAATATGTGAAACATTCGGGTTATGATTTTGGCACAATCATACCTCGAACACCTAGTTATCCCAACCTATTGAAGATAAATATTTATTAAACTAATATTTAAAATTAAATCCACAAGCAAAGATAAACAGAGTGAAGCTTCTGAGACGGTCAACCTTACACCTTCACCGCGTGAATGACAGGATCTTTGGATTCCACTAACAGAATTTCCAATGGTTGTTGCAGTTTACACATGTTACATAGGTTGTCATAGGTTCATCTGCACTCCTTGTCTGCATTTGATAGTAAGTGGTCTTGCGTTGACCACAACGCCCACACTTGAACTGATCTGTCGTAGCCTTTGGTGCGCCGCCACGCTCACAATCAAATAGAGCCTTATCTTTAATTTCTTTATTTTCACGTTGCCTCTCATCACTGGCCATTTCTTCTGGGGTCATAGTAACGAGTCTTTCTGGCTTCACTTCGCCCAGAAGAACCTTCCTCCTAAAATCTGGATTCTTTGGATCCTTCATGTTGAACATTATGGATCTGTACTTAAAATTTTGGGCACCATTTGATTTCCCCATCTTCTCAAACATCACAGATTCAACTGATACAGCAACCCGGATAGGGTCAGCAGTACTCACTTGATCCAACATGTCCTCATCAGCCTCGCTGGCAACTTTAGACAAAGCCTCTACAAGAATCTCCCGAAATTTGTCACGCAAAGGATCATTACATTTGACAATTGATGTCAACTTCGGAGGACAGGCAGGCGACTGAAATGGTTTCTTAACTTTTGATGCTTGTCTATCATCCTTATAAATTGTTTCAAGCTTACCTCGATCTCTCTTCTCAGCCATTGCAGTATCTCCATTTGCCTCCTTTTTCTCAACTTTGACAGACTTTACTGAATCACCTTTAGATTTCTCAACCTTTACAGATTCTGTACCGGAGAGCTTTTCAGACTTCACAGCACTTGGCTTCTGAAGTTTCTCGACCTGAACAGCACTAGTAGTGCCATTTTCTTACTCTTGGTAGTCTCCTCGATAACAATTTTTTTCCACAACTCAAGCAAGTCAGAAGCCACGGTCTTGATTTTCTCTCTAGGATGCTTGGTGAGAGGACGCAGCTTTTTCCCAACCTATAATATATATGGGAATTCAGTTCTATTTTCTTTTTTAAATGTATTCACCAACATGCATGAAGCGGCAGCAGATGCTAATGACTTGGGTAAGACCAACTAACAGGTTGAACTATGCCACTGTTATTATAAAGTTGTCATCAGTTCTGACTAGAAATACAAGGATTTCCTTCAACGTAATTGGGTAACATCTCAAGAAGTTATAACTAAAGCAACCACTACCAGCAATGATAGTTGTAATTGCAGGGAATCCTATGGATTGGACATGTACCGAAATTGCCTTTTTTTATGTTAGCATGAGAACAAACATAATACATGTTTGCATGATAACTCTACATAAGAAAACTAAATTAAATAACATGCCCTGCTTCAATAATTAAAAAGTTACAAAATACAGAAAAGCTTTTAACATGCTTGGTTTAGAAGAAAATGAGATGCTAAAAATGTGGATGGAAGATGAAGGAAAGAAATGCCTTAACTTACTTTGAAGCAAAGAAAAGTGATTAAAAAGAAAACAAAATGTGATGGATGGTTATTACCCACCAAACAAATAAATAAAATAGGGGTAGGGTAAATGAGGAAGGTATAAGATATATACAAATGTGTGTGTGTTTCCTACACTATTTCTCTCAATTTTCTATTTATCCAACTCCCTATCACTCCTTCTAGTTAGCAGTCAAAGTTCATACAATAACAGGGGAGCCATCGGCAAAAACATAATACATTTAAGTATTCCTATATTTATCAGTAGATGCAGTTCATTTTAACTGTCCTAAGAACCTAAAGGGAAGCATTCTCAGACTCTAAATTGTATTTGCAAAACCAAAATTCTGGAATCTTTACTTCACCTAATAGAGATTATTATACTTCAATGGAAATCAATTTATCAAGTACTATATAGAATTAATAATTAATCTTATCTATCTATATGTCTATTATATTATACACATTCTTTGCTTCCATTTAAAGAAAAAAAAAGTTCATTTCTCAACTAAACGAATCACAAAAACTTTCGTAAAAGGAATATAATTTTCCTCCTAATCGTCACTCAGAAAATTCGACACAGAGACAAATTGAAAATCCATACACGAGATTACTAATTAATCAGAAACTAAAAGATAACAGGGGAGAGGGAAGAGAGAAACGCACCTGAGAAGAAACAAGAGTATCGTAAGTGACGGGGAAATCCTTGAGCTGGTTCAAGGCGTCAACGCATCTGAAAACCTCAGGGGAGTTGGGGGAAACGGCGTCGGAGGCGGCCAAATCGGCGGCTTTCTTTGCGGCGTCGAACAAATGCAGCAGCTCCTTCTCCATCTTATTTAACCTAAAAGATAAAATATCCAGAAGATTTCCTCTCCTTCACCTTTCTTTTTTGGCAAGGATGTTCTGGAAGAGAGAGAGAGGGGGAGAAGAAAATGAAAAGAGAGATTTAGTTTTGGACCGAATTGCAATACGGATAGGGAAGGGGTGATTTTGGAAATAGGGAAGTAGCAGTTGTACCACACGGATTAAACGGTTACTGTTGTAATTGATAAATGATCAATGATCTTTGATCGGTTAGGGAATGGACGGTCTGTGATGTGTGATCTACTGATCTAACGATCAATGGTCTTCGTTTTCTTCCGTCGGGCATTTGGGCTTCGTTTGAGCCTCCTCTGTTGGCCCATTTATAATACTAATAGATTTATATAGGGACGGGAATGGGTCGGGTTTTTGGTTCACCCGACCCAACCCGAGAACAAAAATCTTTCACCCGAGATCCGACCCGATTCGACCAAAACAAGATTCCATCCGACCTGAACCCGACCCGATATATAACTTAAAAATCCGATCCGACCTAACTCAACCCAAAATAATAAAAAAATAATTTTTATTCAATAAAACAGTGACTTAATTGAAAAAAATAATATATAGAGATGTATTATTGTAATTATTCCTAAATATAAGGTAAAATTATATATTTTTGGGTCAGGTCAGATATTTTTCACCCTAAACCCGAACCGACTCGACCCGAACATCACATTAAAAAAAATTCAGCCCAATCCGACCAAAACTTGATTTATTTTTTAAAAAAAACCTGTCGGGTTCGGATCCCATGTCGATCCCTTGATTTATATAAATTTAATACTTATTTTATATCGAATCGCATTCAAACACTGCAAACTTCTATTCCAAGTTATCGATTGCAAGAACTGGTAGTTTTCCAGCATTTTTCGTTGTTTCATTGTGGGTTAAACTACAGGAAAGATGAGAGAAAAGTTTGCAGTGTTAATGTGTGTATGCGTTCTGTTATTGGGGAATTGTTTGTGCAGCTTTGTAGTGGAGAGGAACAGCTTGAAAGTGACATCGCCAAGCTCCATCGAAGGCGTCTACACGTCTTCGATTGGGAGTTTTGGGATTCCTCTGCACGGCGGAACATTGGTCGGCACTGTTGTTTATCTCTAACCGAACAAACGCGGATGCAGGCCCTTTGATGAACTTGATATCTACTTCAAATCAACCCATGGTGCACTCCCCATTGTTCTTCTTGTTGATCGAGAGGTACTGGTATTATCTTTGCTTTTCTCTAACTTGATTCTAACTGTTCCCTGCTTAGTAATAATGTTGTTTGCTGTTGTGGCAGATTGCTTCTTCGCCTTGAAAGCATGGCATGCTCAGCAAGCTGGAGCTGCTGCTGTTCTTGTCGCCGACTACATCGATATGCCCTTGATTACCATGGGTACACCGGAAGAAGAGTATGTTGATGTCGAATTCGCGCAGTACATCACCATTCCATCAGCCCTCATTAGTAAATCACTAGGAGACCGGATCAAGGAGGCCCTTAGTAATCAGACATCGTTGAAATAAAACTCGACTGGATGGAGCTCTTCTCCATCCTGATGAGCGGGTCAAGTACGAGTTTTGTACTAATAGCGATTATGAATGCGGGCCAACGTGCGACAGCCAGCTCGAATTCGTCAAGAACTCCAAAGGAGCTGCTCAAATACTCGAGCAGAAAGGGTACACTCATTGTTGATAAAATACACTGTAAAACTACACGTTTAGCACTGACTGAAAATATAAACAGTAATTAAAAGGAACAGATTCGTAAACCGTGTTGTGGTATAACTACTGCCTTAGAAACGAATTCCCCGAGGTTAACACGGTCGCTCCGAATTCCGTACACCTGAAATCGGAGTGGACTGCCGGTGGTATTGCTCTTCTTATCGGAAGTACACAAAGAGAATATTTAGAAACACTTGGAGAGTGAATTTTAAATGTTGAGAGTGAATTGAGAATCTGAATATAGCTCGCTATTTATAGGCTATAAATAGGTTAAAATCGTCCATAAAATTTCAGGATTAAATCTCTTCTTTGTAACAGCTGAAACGTCTAGATGAACCTGACTCAGAAATAATCCAGATTCATTGCATCATTATTCATATGTTATAACTCCCGAATTATCATGTAACCCCTAGAATTAAATCAAATAACTCATGATATTAACAGTTTATCTCCTTTGTACAAAGCTGAAAATCAGTCCTCAGCAGCCTATAATACCAGTTGAAATCTTTCATATTTTTTCATCTGGAATTAAATCAAATAACTTCTGATATTAACAGTTTGTCCCCTTTTACAAAGTTGAAAATCAGTCCTTAGCAGCCTATAAATACCAGTTGAAATTTTTCACATTTTCTATTTATTTCTTTCAAAGAGAAATTCCTCAAGAATTTTCTCTAAAAAATTAGTATCCGCGCGGACGAGACGAGTCCCCTTGTTCTCTTTCACTCAACAAGGAAGTGGAAAATTTAAACCATAAATAGTCATTCCAATAGTATTTCTAATACTATGTGGAATTGAGTATTACCAACACTCGTTTCACCCCTCATTATGTGAGTCTTGCCCTCGACCTTTTGTTTCCAGCAAACAGTGCAAGTTGCAATGTATCAATCACGGCAGGTACTGTGCTCTGGATCTCGGCCATGACCCCGACAGAGGATATGGTGGTAAAGATGTGATGGTTCAAAATCTTCGCCAAGCTTGCTTTTTCAAAGTTGCTAATGAAAGTGGAAATCCATGGCTTTGGTGGGACTATGTTACGGACTTTGTGATCCACTGCCAGTCGAAAGAGAAGCCTACCAAAGAATGTGCAGATAAAGTTATACAATCTCTCGGTATTGATCTCGCTAAAATAGACGACTGTATCGGTGACACCGTGGCTGATGTGGAGAATCAGGTTCTTGAAGCTGAACTAGACGCAAAGGTTAAGCTATTTCTTTAACTCTTACAAGTGAAAAGTAATTAGTCCTCATATCTTTGTTGTATGTTTTAGCATTCAGAATCTTTATCTTATTCTGTAACCTCGGTTTCAGACCGGCAGAGGTATCCGTGAAGACGTTACTATGCTGCCAACACTTCTGATAAATGACAGACAATATCGAGGTTCATAGATGTATTGACCGCCGATGTCGTCCTTAATATGATTGCATGAATTACATTGCGTAACCGTGCTTTTTCCGATGGATTCAGGGAAGTTGGACAAAGGAGCTGTTCTCAAGGCAATTTGCAGGTTTTCAAGATACCATCGAGCCAGCAACATGTTTAAGTAAAGGTTTTCATCTATTGCACTCGAGAGCATTTTATCGCGGATTTGGCACACACCATGCCCTCCTTTTCTTGCCGATGAATCAAATGAAAGAGTTACTCAAGTGCCGTAGTGTTTGTGCTAAAATGATTACAGAAACGATTCTTTGCTAGCAGTTACTTAAATAATGATGAATTCGTGTTTGTATTTTAAATGAACAGTCTCGCCGGTATACAAACTACTCGGTGCTCGGAAAACAACGGCGGGTGCTGGGGGGACAACATTGCTAACATTACTGCATGCAGAATATGTCAGTTTTGTTACATTATATGTTCAAATCATCTATTTTTGCCAATGCCCTTGTTTTGCTTGTAGGATACCTTCCGCGGAAGAGTGTGCAAGTGTCCCGTCGTTAACGGTGTTAAGTATTTCGGCGACGGCTACACGCTTTGCGAAAGAAAATCTATTTCCTTGGCAAGGAAGGAACTCGATTTCCAAGCACATAGTCGATGGTAGATCATTGTTTGGCCGATAATTCTCGGATTCGCCATCGCTGGAGCTGCTGTGTATGCCAAATTACAAATACACAATCCTGGTAAGAACACTGCTACTGTGATGTACCGATGTCGGTATTTTCCTTCTTCCTCCATGATTTAAAGGTTGTAATTGCTACGGTGATATTCATTTGATGCAGAGGCCGATGGATTTCAAGATTTGGGGGATGATGGAATATTACACGAAAATGATAAAGCATAAGAAGGATTTACGTTTAGAAAAATAAAATATTAGAAATTATGGATGGAAATTAAAAAAAAATATTAGTAATTATTATATTTGATTTTTGTTCAAAGTTATCAAAAATAATATATCATATTAAAATTATTACTACATAATGACCATAAAACTATTATTAAAAAAATTCAAAAAAATAAAGTTAAACAAAATTATAATATAAAATAAATACTTATAAGGTCCAAAAATAATTTTAATTTATCAAACAATCCCAGGTTAAAGAAACAAAAATCCATTACAAATGAAATAAAAAGAACAAGAATACACAACCATTTAGTACCGGAAAAAGCCGCAACCTCTCACCAGTCCTCTAGGGTACGGCTGGTGCAAATTCCTCTAATAAAATTTTCAAAGTAGAACAATCTGTGCAGAGAGCATTGTTAAATCTTATTTCATTTAAACAAAAACATTTCTAAAGAGCAAATCATGCGAATTCTCCATAGGCAATACTCATGCACGGCTCATATATGTTCCAGTTCTGGTATCCACCAGTATTTCTTCACCGATGTTTACGAATAGAGGAACGTTGACCACAGCACCGGTATCGAGAGTTGCCGGCTTAGATCCACCTGTTTCAAAATGATTACATTAGGCCAGACAAAACCCAAACCCATATTTACTCGGTCGCAAACGTGAGTGTCAAATATGGGATTGTGTTGAACATAAGTTACAGACAAAGTACTTGAAAGCAAAAAATGAAGAGTCCGAACAACATAGTGAAAAAAGGGTGCATATACCTACATTACTTTCAGTTCAAGATACAAGTTCAGGCATTTGCTCACCCATTGCATTTCCAAAGTTAAGGTTGGTTAAAATTTACAGTTTAGATCAGTAACATAATGGAGTAGGAGATATGACCTAGAAGAGAAGCTATATTACATTACCTGAAGCTGTGTCGCCTTTGAGACCGGGATCAACATCAACCACTTTAAGCTGAACCGTGATTGGGAGCTCAAAATCAATAACCTGCAACAAAGTGGATATGTTAATAATGCTAATCTTTGCTACTAATTACCAGATGCCACAATCTGCACAAATACATGAATATGATGCTAATAAGTACACATACAACACAGGTGGCTACAATAACACTTTCTTGAGTACAGATTTCATAAATACCTTTCCGTCCCAAAAGAGCAAATAGCAGTCCATACCCTCTTTCAACCACTTTGTCTTGTCGCCTACCTCTGCTTCACTTAGACGGATTTCTTCAAACGTGGTCTGTAAGAAGTAACAATCATTATAAGACTGAAAGGAAATGAAATATGACCTTTCGGTGCAATTATTCAACAGAAAATAGTAATTATTTAATCTTCCAAGAACTAGACTATTAGGAGCACGGACTCATCTCTATTGAGTATATATAAGAATATAGAGGAAATACCAGGTCCATGAAAACATATTGGGAGCCATCTTTGTATGTGTACTGCTTTTGTTCCTTGAAAACATCTGCCTCCTCAATCTGTAAAAACAAGTGCATACTTCAGGCACGAAAATTAAAAATTCAAACTGAAATAAAGGAGCAATGCCGGCAGTAGATAAGAATCTTTCCTGGTGCAACTTATTTGTAAGCTTTTCCTCGAATAAACAAGGTTATTTTATCTTTAAAAATGAAATAACTTGCTCTATGAGAAGCACCAAAACCGATTCTCATCCCCTAAATGCTAACAGAACCAAGCCGAGTATAGAATTAAAAATAGAAGATTACCGTACTTCCGGCTCGAAACGTCTTCTCCACGGTGTTGCCGGTGATATAATTGCGCATTTTGGTCCTTACAAATGCAGCACCTTTTCCAGGTTTCACATGAAGAAACTCTAGAAATGGACCAAAATCCCACAACCACAATTTCATATCAGAAACACAATCAACCACATTTCATACAAATTGAACTACTCTAATAGTATTAAATTGCGGCTGCTAACGTCGACGACACCGAACCACATCCGCAACATAGAATCATAGTTATTTTTAGGAAATAAATCACTGCGCAACGTTGGCAACATCCACAACTGCGAGACCGCAGGTACGATGACTCTAACTCAGTGTGCTTTCATTAACAAAGCATATGTTACCGGACATAATAGCAGAAGCAAGTACCTAAAACTTTCCATGGAGCTCCATCAACTTCAAGGTTCGTACCCACTTTGATATCGTTACTAGTCAAAGCGTGAATCCCTGAAACCAAAAAGGAAAAACACATTATTATAAAAAGGGTGCTTCAAAAAAGTAAAAAATGAAGAGGGGAAGTGGCGAAGGTACTGAGGATTCTGCGAGGGGAGTGGGTTAAATGAAGTGGGTAAGTGGAAAAAGTAGTGACAGTTCTGGGAAAAGAGTGGGTTTTGTGGGGAAAACGCATTGGGAGATGAAATGCTCTTGAAGATGAAGTCTTGAAGATTGGAGTGGGTGATGAGACAGTGAAGGTTGCAGTTCCCGCCATCGCCATGGACATGGACATATGGGAAAATGCGAGAGAAAAGGGGAAAATTTTCTCGAGCCAAAGCTCAAAATTGATAGAAAATGCAGAATATCGACGGCTTTATCTTCCATCCCCTGCTTGCTTTGGTGGTTATGTAAGGGAAAGGATTGGGCTGTTTTCCTCTTTTAACGGTTGATGTTTCCGTTTATTTGGGCTAAAATATCGAAACTTCCTCTTCTGTCTTGCTGCCCAAGCATGTTTTCTTGGGTCTAGAACTTTATATGGGTCGGTTTAGATTGGACGATGATTTGATTTTAAATCCTATATAAAAAAATTTAAAAATATTTTTTAAGATATTTAAAAATTAAATTAAAAATAATAAACATATTAAAAATATAAATTATTCTTTTAATTAATTGGGGATAATTTCAAGGTATTATATTTTTAATGAACGTTCAAATACCTCTACAAATGTCGTGCTCGAATTCAAAATCTCTAAGTATAATAATATCTTTTAACTCACCATATTAAATTAAATTATTTTTTAGATAACGTTGATTTGATTCTAAATTTTATATAAAAAATAATTTTATTTGTGATTAATACCTTATAAGCTAATATATATTCGAAAGACTCTCAACCATTTGAAAATAAATGCTCAAACACCTCTACAAATGTCGTGATCGAACTGAGATCTATAAGGATAATAATCATCCATTGACTATATATATATATATATATATATATTGAAAATTAAGGAAGTTATATTCCAATAGTCAGAATTACAACAGGTTTGATACAATCAGGTTTATCGTAATAAAATCAAAACGGATTAGGTCTCGACAATGTCTATTGAGCTAGAGAGTGTGCAGCTCTATTAGCGGCTCTATTGACAGAGAAAACCGTTCCTGTTGCGATCCAATATCTCATGGGCTTCGTTGAGTAACAATTCGATGGTGTTAACATCCTCCTTCCTATTTGCAAGTCTGTTCACAATGGAAATCGCGTCACCCTCTATAATAGCATCGTTCCATCCGTTTTCCATGGCGAATCTGATCCCATAAGTGAATGCCAAAACCTCTGTTGATTCAGCTGTAAAAGGCGGGTCAATTTTCCTGGCCATCCGCCCGACCACCATTCCATTAGCATCACGCGCCGCCACTCCAATAGCCACAATACCGCTCTGGGAGCTGAAGGATTTTACATTGTGGCCTTAGCACTAGTCTGGGGAAAATTATCATAATGACCAAGCTTGGCCTCCGAGAATTCAGCGTAAAGGCCCCAAGCAGAAATTACCACATCTTTGTCATCTTGAAGAACCTCGTCGTGAATCCATTTATTCCTGCGATTCCAGACGTTCCAAAGGAGAACTAATAACTTTGTGAAGCCTACCAGGTCCAGTTTTGAAACTATCCATTCGAACCAGTTCTTGCACGAGTTACCTTGCCATTCAATGATTGTAGTTGCAGGTCCCGAATAGTGTAATATTGCTCTCGTCTTGAGACGATCCTTGAGGGCGTGCAACGTTGTTTCAAGCTCTCGATGGCACATAGGGCACACACCATCTGAAATATGTGCATTTTTTAGCTTTTCTCCCGTTGGCAAAGCCTCATGGCAGATTCTCCATCCGAAAATTTGGATTTTCGGAAGTGTAGGGAGTTTAGGTAGAATTTTCCAAATCTTGCCGGTGTCCCTGGGGAGATTCTTACGTAGCAACAACCAGTTATAGTCAAATTTTGCCGAATAGCACCATGTGCTGTGATGACTCCATATGATCCGATCTGAGGGGACAGGGGCGATGAGAGTACCAAGAACCTTATTCGCATCCTGTGGGGCGAGACTCTCTTTCACTTTTTGAGCATTCCATTGTGGCACGTTAGGGAGCATGAAGTCCGTGCATCTCAGGGGCAGCTCAGGGTTATCGAAGTAAGCACTAGACCAACTGATAGGCGAGGCATCTCCCCACTTATCTTCGAACATTCTCACTGTTCCATTGAATCCGATCCTCCAGAAGAAGGTCTTTGAAAGCTTCCTTAGCTTTGAAGATACTTAGCCAGGCATAGGAAGCTCTGTCACCTAGTTTGGCTACCATAAGAGAGCAATCGGAAAGTACTTAGCTTTTAGGACACTAAAAGCTAAGGAGTTTGGGTCCTGAATGAAAGTATACTTCAAATTACTTTTTTTAGTTTCATTTTAATTGTTTTAATATATAGCGGGATTATTAAATAAATACATATGTACAGATATCATATAGTTTTATTAACAACGGGATAATTTTAAAAAGGACAATATTTATATAAATATATAAGACTTGCTCCCTTATTAGGGATGGCAAACGGGTACAGTTTCGTGGATTCGGCACTGCACTCGCTCCAATTACGGCGGGGATGGATATAATTTTAGCGGGTAGTGGGCGGGTGTGGATTTAGAAAGGGATACATGTCGCAGGTAGTGGGCGGGTAATGGGTTTGAGACATTACCCGCCCCGCATCCGCTCCGCATTCGCCCGCCCGCCCACTTTCTATTATATATGTAGAATGATGATTGTAATACTGGAGTATCAGATGTCACAAATATTGCCTGAAATTTTAGAATGTTATGCCAAAGAACAAAAATATTATGTGTTTGTCATTTATGTTTCTAAACTTTAATTATGTCTTTTATTATGGTGTTTTATGTATTTTAAGATTTATATTAACATATAACTCAGATAATTCTTGGATTATTTTATTATGTTTCTTAATGGACATGTTTTTTTATGTTTGTTGCTTATATATAACTTAAGTTTGTTTTCAGGCGGATCTAGACGAGTACATCACTAGTGGATAGTGAGTGTGAGGATGGATTTGAGAATGTACTCGCGTGGGCGGGTATAGATTTGAAAATTTGCACCCATCATGGGTGGTGAACGGGTGATGGATTGAAAAATATTAGATAGGTATGAGGAAAGGGGTATCCGCACCCGACCCGCCCGTTTGCCATCCCTATCCCTATCCCTATCCCTATCCCTTATCTACAAAAACAGCATTCTCTCTATTTCATTATCTAGACATGGGGATACATACGTGGAAGAACCACATCTTTAATCTTCTATATGTTGGTGTTGATTTTAAGAGAAAAATGGGGGAAATGAAGAAAAAAATCATATTATAAACAATCAAAATCCTTCCACACTAGCCCTTCCAAGGGTTGCCGACGACAATCTCCGGTTTTCTTGCCGTTCAAGTTCCTCTAATGAAAGGGTAGAGGAACAAGCCCGAGGTGGAAGAGTTGATGGAAAAACAGCTGCTCTTGTAGGAGAAACAGAGAACCGGGATCCAGATGGTGGTGACGGGGAGAAACCGAATTTAGGTGCAGTAGCAGGAGTAATGATACTGTTAAGACTCGGCCACCTCGACATATGTTTTCCGGAAATCGCTGCGGGCTCTTGCAGAGGGAACCGGCATGAATATTTCATGTCTTGGATGACTTTGAGATTCTCAACCATGGTTCTCATGGTAGGCCTCTCCGATGGGTCCTTTTGGAGACATCTTTGTGCAATGTCGGCCACTGTGCGTGCAGCTTTCATAGGAAACCGACCTTTCAGCAGAGGATCCATTATGAGTGATAATCTACAATCGTCAGCCAGAAACGGTCGGCTCCACTTCACTAGGTTCCTCTCTTCCCTCTGATGACGGCTATCGAGATTCTTCCGGCCGGTAAGTAATTCAAGTAGGACAATGCCGAAACTCCAAACATTGCTCTTTGGTGTTAGCCATCCTCTTTCCAGGGTCTCTACCGAGAGATTTGCCACAGCCTGCACCAATGGAGAGAATCAACGACAAATAACTCAACTTTTATGGCATCAGAGAGATCGACGAAAATCTAGTGAACTCAGCACAAATGATTAGTATTTAAAAGATCGATTACGAGGTAAAATGACTTACCAGTGAATTAGCAGAGATCTCTTCTGTCTCTAGGATATGACCAACACACCCGTATCCAGAAAGCTTTGCACTGAAATCTTTGTTAATCTGTATATTGGCAGTTGAAAATTCATTGTACATTGCCTGCACATGGTAGAACGTTTCCATTACGTTTCGGTTGTTATGCATGGATAAAAGTGGATCAGTAATCGGGAAAACAGAAGTCCAAAAGTTACTAACACACAAACTAATGTAGCAAGAACAGGAAAATGGCTTCATAAGATCCCAAAAGGATTAAATCAAGAAAGCCAGAACTTATTTCTCAAAGAACTGCCATCCCCATTTGTGTATGATCAAAGTTCAACCATAGGGGCACATGATACAATATCATTTAGTTTTATTCTCTCGAGAATTAGATGCACACAACGATTTCAAAACTACCTGAAATGGTCCTTCCTCGTGCAAGAAGGTAAGGCCCTGTGCAGAACATAAAGCAATCTTCATCCGGGTGTTCCAATCAAGTGGTGCTCCATCTGATCTCCCATATAGAAGCCTGTCTAAGCTTCCATGAAACAGCCTCTCGTAGACCAAAATTCTTTGTTCTGAACTATCACGTGCATGGAATCCAAGCAATTTACAGAGGTTTGGATGCTGCAACGATGCGAGAGTGTTTACTTCATTTATAAAATCCCTTAAACCCTACAAGAAAAAAGGAAAGAAAAATGTTAAACCGGAATAAAAGTAATCAATTATTTTTGCAGCATAACAACCACAATATTCACACTCGTTTAAATTCTAGACGGTAATAGTTGAAGTATTAAAACAGCATGTAGAGAAAAATATAATATAAAGGACCAGCAACAACACAAATGTCTTGCACTAAATACATCAACGTTAAAAGATCGTGAAAATTATGCAAACTAATCTAAATTACCAATTTCCTTCTTTTAAATCGGTAACCATGATTCAATATGCAGAAGAGTGTTAAAGGGATACAAATGCAAAGAGGTTCACGATACAGAGTGTGCCATAAACCATGAAGTTCCATTAGTAGAAATTTTCCCGTACCTGAGTGGATGGGTGAAGGCGAGTAACAGTGGCTTCAAACTTCTTTGAGCTTGATGCATCATCTCCAAAAGAAGCCATATACATAACAGAAGAAAGACCCTCTGACGTGCATCGATCAGAAGAGAAAAGATGGCAAGCAGCTGAAATTTCTTCATAGGAGAAGTTTCGTAGTGCTCCGGAGGGAGGCAGGGGCAGTGGTCCAGAAGCAAACAGAGGGCCACTGGCATTCCCTGCTTTAAAGCTTCCCATCGTCTTCAGTGAAGTACTGTGTGGACATGGAAGCGGCAGCGGTTGCGGGCTTGATGACCGCTGCTCCTTCACTACTCCAGCAGAACTCTTCAACTCTTCTTGTTCTTCAAATTCAACCGATGCAAGAGCATCTCGCTCAGCAGCATCAAGACTTGACGGAGCAGATAATGTACGTGCACGTGCCCTGCTGCTGGTTGCCTTATTATCAGAATGAATAGGTTTTACCCTGGTTTTAAAACTCGGGGGTGCAGATTGCAGTGATCGTTTTTGAACTTTGGGCTCAGGAAGTGCGGTCGGCATATGCTCCTTATGAGCAATAGGTTTAACAAAGACTGACTGCTCAGACTTTGTCTTCTTACTTTTCAAAACCGTAAAACAACCCATCTTATATACAAACTACAGAAACTATCTTAAGTCTTGTATGTTTCTGCAAGAACGAAAATACGAAAACACGCAAAATCATTAGGAAACTTTCAACCGGTGAGAACACAAATCATACCAATAAATAGGCATAAGATATCTATTACAAACAGGGTAAGATTAGAACAAATAGGGATTGAACTAACTCATCATCTTATCCTATCAATCAGATGAACAACTCATATCCACCAACAAAATTAACAAAATTCCGAAATTTCCTGCTCCTAGAATACATGTTCGAAACGATATCTAAACAAAGATTGCACCACATTTTGATTCTAGCCACATCAAAGCAAACCCCATATCTTCGATGCAATAACCGCTTAGATTCTACAGCTGTGGAGTCCGACTACTAACACCTTGTTCGAACAAAGGAGGTTCAAGTTTGCAATAAACAACTACATGGACTAAGTGCAACAGATTACACTAATTCATCAAGGCAGAAAACTCAATAAACTCTAAAATAATTCAGTGAACAAGCTAACAGCACAATTTAAGTAGATAAAGAATTGCAGGGAAAATTCCTAAGGCTACAAAAATATCCAAAGCTCCACAAATCACCGTATAGACAACTGGGCAACATAAATTTTACACCTGGGTTAATAAAACTAAACCCAGATCCAAAATAATCCAAAAGAAAGAAAACTAAAAGAACAAATTCCACATCTACCGAATCAGCTATGCATGATTAATATAAAGCCAAGAGCACACATTTAAAAAAACACACGCAATTTTCAAGCAAAACTCAACCTTGGAATCATGAATGAAACTTGAACAGCAATAAGATATTAAAAAAAGGGTGTTAAGAACCGAACCTTATGAAAGCAGGTCATGCAAGCAAAACAATAAGAAGGGTAAAACGGAGAACGACGAAGAGCCAGAAATCCAGTTTGGGTTTCTTGGTTGATTGATGGGGGGAAACACCACCTATGCGAGTCAATAAAAACTAACGGAGAAAGCTGTTTTTAAGTGTGTTTCTTCTTCTTTCCAGGGAAAGATGGAAAAGTAGGCAGCTGATGAGACAACAATATTATTTGCATTTACCGTTATTATTTAAGAGAAAGAAAAGGAAACAAAAATGGAGCAGAACGAATACTGGTCTAACTCAAATCAAACCAGGCCAAACCAAAACATGCATTTAGTTAACAATGAAAACTTATTTTATTCAATCTCTTTTACCTGAAATGTGTGTTTTTTCTTACACTTTTGTCCTCCATTTTATATGCTATTATATTTAATAGATTCATATAATTACGATTAGAGTTATTGCACAAATAAATACACTGATAATTAAAATATATTCAGATTACAAATTATAAACACACAAATTGATAATCGTAATATATCGGACCTCGACCGGAATATTATTGGGCATGATCCACATCATACTAAGAACTAAGGATGAGTGTAGATCGAGTTAGATCAGATTTTTTTTATCGCCTTGACTTGCCATTAGAGAAGTATCTCTCCCAAATATAATACAAATTCATTGATCAATTAATTTAAATGAAATACTATAAGAATTTATTATAATAACGATCATTTCAATCTAATTTACTTCATTCAGGAACAAATATTTAAGGATGATGGTGATTTAAATTAAAATATAATAAGTATTAATAATAATTAAAGATTCGGGTGGGTAAAGTGTAAATTTAAGTGTGAAGGTTGATTTTCAACAATGTGCACCTCAATTGAGGTGGCGGTCAAAGTTGGAAAATTGGATTTTATTTTTAAATAAAAATAAATAAATAAAAGAAGCATGTGTGTTTTTTTTCGGATGCGGTCAAACTACGTGAGCTATCGAGAAATGGACTTGATAACAGATTTCCGTCGTCCGATTGAATATAACACGAAGATATGGTCGGTCAAGATCGAACTGTAAGCTTTGGTGGGACCTATATCCAATCAACAAACATCAAACTTGTCCTTTTCTTGTGGGTGGGCTCCACGTGGACCCACTTGTCGGCCCTTTTCACTGTTTATACTTCGTCACTGATGTTGGATTGGGCCGAATTTTATATTGAAAATAAATAATTTAATATATTATGAGAAGAAGAAATCAAATTGAAAATTGATTAATAATTAGTGAACTTTGAAAACTGATTAAATATTTCACATCGATATGGAATAATTTAATTACTTAAAGTATGAAATAGGAGTAGGGTAAACTACATAAGAGTTCACTTTTGTTTCACTGTCTTCTAATTTTGGCCATTCAGCGCTCAATGATGCGTTTTGGTCATTTACGTTAACAATTTGGTGTTCTGGCTTAACTATGGCACATTAATAAAAGGAGCTAGTTTTTAATTTGATCCATAAAATTTAGATAAAGTTATAGTTAAACTATTTTACCTAAAATTTAAGAATTAAATTAGAAATTAATATTTTTTTATAACATGTCATGTCCTTTGTGATAAATTATATGTATATCTAATTTTTATCAATAAGATGACTGAAGTGGCAATGGTGACGGTGGAATCAAGAACGATGATTAAGGTTTTTATAAAATATAGTTAAAATATTATATCTAAATTTTAAGGATTAAACTAAAAATTAGTATTGTTTTATAAAGTTTCATGTCCTTAGTGATAATATTGTTTTTAATCGATCATATAAGCAACTAAATTATAATAATTAACATTGAATGGCCAAAATATAAAAATGAACCAGAAATGGCATCTACTATAATTTACCCATACGATAATTAAGTCTAGTGATAGTACAATAATGCTTCCTGCTGTTTATTAAAAAATAATAAATATAATAAATTTATCTTTGAAGTTGATATTTTGGTGTATGCATTTGCCGATAAGTGCTTCAAATACATTCAACTATTTTCCACCCAAAAAAATATTATTTTTATTTATGTGATGCAGGTGTTATTATTAAAAAAACATTTAATAAATGTAAATTATTTTTTTAGATATAATGAATTCACCCATAATATAATTTAGAAATTTCGTATTAATATGATGTATATTTTAAAATTTTAAGATATATGTTTAAGTATACTATAATATAAAAATAAATATTTTAAACTTCAAATGGATAATTTAAAGTATAGAGCATTTAAATTAAGTTGGAATTTCATAAATTTATAATTTTATTAAATTAAATTAAATTATATACTATAATTTTAGTTGCAAGATAGTAATGAATGTAAAGCTTCTGGCAGTTGGGCAGATAGATTCACCAAGCTTCTCATATGTACATTTGAAAGGCCGAGTTAAGACTGGTCCCACAGACGGGCACTGTCATTGTCAGTTGTCACATTGAACAAGGGATGAATGTTGTATGTTGTTTTAGGTTTGGGTTGGTGGAACTCATCTATTATATCATAAATTGCATTCAAGGCTTATGCCTTTGTGTACTCATTTATCTCATTTAGGAGTTAACGTTCGATCGAGTAAGTCAAAAAAATTTCAAGTTATTTGAGTTGACGAGATATATTTTATAACTCGGAGTTAACTTGAAATTTTCGAGCCGAGATAAGTTTATAAAATTCGATTCGAGTCAAATTTTCAAGTTTCTATTTAAATTTAATTATAAATATTTACAATATTATGACATCGTTTGATTCTTATTTAAATGATATTTTATAATCATATATATATATATATATATTTGTATTTTTTTCTTATGTGATTTACATAAACCATACAAAGTCGAGAGACTTGACTAAAGTTTCGACTCAAACTTAAAAATCAATCTACTAATTAGTAAAACATTTTGAGTTATTCGAGTTGTAATTTACAACTCGATTTGAACTTGAAATTTTTCGAGTCGAGTTGAGTTTATGAAATTACAACTCGAAGTAAATTCAAGTCGAAAAAATTGACTTTTCGAATCGATTCAATTTTTACTTACCCCTAATCTCCTTAGATCCAAGTAGTGATGGGTATCGAACTTGGACCTTACATGTATTGATCCGACCCTGTAAGATTGATTTTGAAAAAAATGAAATTCGAATCAGGTCAGATGGAGTTTTTTGAAAGATAAATTCAAGTTAGATCGTATTCGAATTAAAGAGAAAAATTCTTAGATCTAATACAAGATAGTAGTATAATTTTTCTTTATCTATTTAAGAACGGACAATACGTAAATCCCAAAAATAGGCAATCTGTAAATTTCTATGTAAATCTCATTTGGGCATTAGATTTGCCCTAATCTCCTTAGATCCAAGTAGTGATGGGTATCGAACTTGGACCTTACATGTATTGATCCGACCCTGTAAGATTGATTTTGAAAAAAAATGGAATTCGAATCAGGTCAGATGGAGTTTTTTGAAAGATAAATTCAAGTTTGATCGTATTCGAATTAAAGAGAAAAATTCTTAGATCTAATACAAGATAGTAGTATATTTTTTCTTTATCTATTTAAGAACGGACAATACGTAAATCCCAAAAATAAGCAATCTGTAAATTTCTATGTAAATCTCATTTGGGCATTAGATTTGCCCTAATCTCCTTAGATCTAAGTAGTGATGGGTATCGAACTTGGACCTTACATGTATTGATCCGACCCTATAAGATTGATTTTGAAAAAAAAATGGAATTCGAATCAGGTCAGATGGAGTTTTTTGAAAGATAAATTCAAGTTTGATCGTATTCGAATTAAAGAGAAAAATTCTTAGATCTAATACAAGATAGTAGTATAATTTTTCTTTATCTATTTAAGAACGGACAATATGTAAACCCAAAAATGGACAACCTGTAAATTTCTATATAAATCTCATTTGAATCTTAGGTATGCACTTGACCTTGACTAGGAGAGTCGCCCCTACGTAAGTTTTGATGTACCAAAAAATGTGATATAAATATGTCATTAGGGTTTGGTACGAGTTTACCCCAAAATTAAATCGAGTGAAACCTCTCTAAATACTGGTAGATTCGGATTACAGGTAGAAACATATAATACTCAATCAAATTTGGGTGGTCAAAAATTCAACCCTGCCATACTCATCCCTACATCTAATTAGCATTATTTTAACGCCCAATTAGCAACTAAATTCAAAGAAACACTTGATTAATACTTAATAGCTTTGATTATAATATTAGATCGATTTAAAATATAATTCATATGTTAAGAACGTAGGATATAAATACCAAAAATGAATCAGTATCCTAACGTTAGTTTGCAATATATATGCGACGAATATTTAATCGAGTCAAAAAAATTAAAATTACTCGAGTTTATAAATCTTATTTTGTAATTTAAATTTCATTTAAATGTTTTTTTAATTACGATTCAAATCAAATCGAATAAAAAATTTAATATTTTCGAAAACGCAATATTAAGTAATGATAGTCAATAAAATTTTGGATTGCTGTTAAATTTTTAAAAATCGTGTTATTATTTGTTAGAGTGATATTAAATTTATTGTTTAATATTTGCATGGGCGTCAATATATGAGGTGGCTCCGTCACTGGTGTGTAGCAGTGATAAAACGTAGTACCATCATTAATATATAAAGATTAAGATATATATAACATATGGATATAGTGATCATAAAGTACATATTGCTGAAACACACCAACACAACTTAATTAACCGTCGATAGAGCTAGCTATTTCATCAAACTGAGCCGAAAACTACGTCGTACTTGTTCATCCAGCATCATCCACCTCACTGCACCCTGCAACAGAAAATACAATACATAAATCAGCACTATAAACTTAATTTAAAACACCCTTTTTTGCATGTGTAAACCAGATGCAAAAATCATTAGTAACGTGATTACTTGTTGCAGTCGATGGAGGGGCTGATCTTGTACGGAATATGGAGATTACACTTGTCGGGGAGGGTCGCCGCGTTACCGAGGTTGAAGTTCGAGTACTGGAACCCGCTGATCGCCGATTTAATGCACTTGCACACGCTTTGGCGGTCCGCCGAGGTTTGAGCCTGGGCGTAGAGTGTGTTCACCCCATTACAGCATGTAGCAGTGGGCTGGCCACCGTTTTGCACGTAGGAAATGCATGGCATCAGGCGGTTCACTACGTCGCTGCATGTGATTGCCGCGTCGGCTGCCTCGGGGGCGCTCGTCATCGCCATGCACACGATGAGCAGCAATGATGCCAACTTTAGGACGTTTGAACTAGTCATGTTAACTCGGTTGCTAAAGAAAGTATAGGGTGTTTTTGAGTTGATTTGTGTACACTCAAAGGACTGAGGTGGGGTTTGTTTATATAGAGAAATTGGTGTTTGAGAATAAATAGTATGCATATTTGGTTTATAATTGGTGGTTGGGTTTCATTTACTGGGGTGGTTGAAAATGGTTGGGGGAATTAAATGGAGTTTGGGAAAACAATTCAACGTGGTGAATGGTGATGGTGTCAAAGGAATTAATTATCTTTTTCATTATAAAATTACTCTTAAACTTGGATATTTAGATCATAAGTTCGAGCAAAATATAATATTATAATCATTTCAAACTATTTAAAATAAATTTGCTCATACAATTATTATTAGAGACAGAAGCATAATCTTATATTAAAATGATAAACTTATAAAATTTAGAATGTACGAATTTATAAAATTTAAGAAAGATAAAAATAAAATTACGAGCCCACAACCGAGGTTAGCCCATGAAGAGCAGCCCAAGTGGTGTTTTGGACCTTCTAGAAGCCACAAAGACTTAGGTGGCATTTAAATATGTATAGATAATGCCCACTTGTTTTTGGTAGGTAAAGATTAATCTCGACCGTCGATGTAATTAGATCTTAGCCGTTCATTGAGGGGAGCTTTAGCTATAAATAGAGGCCTCCCCTCCTCATTTGTACTCACTCCTTCACTTTGAGAAATCATAAGAGCATTCTTCTCTCAAAGCTTTCTTATCTTTCTTCTTGTGCTAGTTCTCTTGTCTAGCTTCCGTCGAGGTTCTAAGCATCCTTGCTTAGGATATTTTCAGGCTTACTTAGCCGCAATCACTAAGAAAGCGACTAAGGCCGCACGTTCCAAGGCGTCGAAGTTCTAAGGGCGTGACAAGTGGTATCAGAGCCAGTTTTACAAGAGATGGCACAACACAACCAAGACGAGGTCCCCACAAGCGAAGTGATGGAGACTCGTGCTGCAGTGGCAAAGAAACGAGGGAGCTCGAAGGATATCGTGGCCTCGTTTGAGCAAAGGGTCGGTAGATTAGAAGACCGATATAATGAAGTCCAAGAGACTCAAGACTCAGTTGAATCTCGCTTAGAGAAGGTGGAGTCCGTAGAGGATATACTCCGTGAAGAAACTCAAGCACTCATCAGCGAGTTAACGGATAACGTAGACGACCGTACCAGAGGCCTCGAGAGCATGTACTTGGCCATGAGGGCCGAAATAATGCAGGAGGTAAAGGAGCTCAAGAGCGAGCTGCTCGTCTACAAGGCTGCCGTGCTGAATGGAGTGACTGGGGAGGCGCAAGCACCAAGACCCAGGATCGACATCCCTAAGCCGAAGGAGTTCAAAGGGAGTCGGACTGCCCAAGACGTGGAGAATTTCATCTGGGGCATGGAGCAATTCTTCCGTGGCATGGGTATCGGGGATGATACCACCAAGGTAAATGTTGCTTCCAATTATCTTACCGATGTTGCTATGTTATGGTGGCGTCGTAGGTGTTCCGAGATTACAAAACCAGTCGGGACGTGGGAGGAGTTCGTGGGAGAACTCAAGGAGCATTTCTATCCGAAGAATGCTGTGCTCGAGGCTCGAGCAAAATTGAAACAATTAAAGCATGACCGATCCATCTTGGAGTATGTCAAAAACTTCACAGAGATCAAGATGCAAATCCCGGACTTGGGCGAGTCCGAAGGTTACTTTGCATTTATGGATGGATTACAACGTTGGGCCAACATGGAGATCCAAAGGAGGGGAGTGACCGAACTCTCCAAGGCATTAGATGCAGCCGAGGCTATTGCCCCGTTTGAAGTAAAAAGGACCGACTCTCTCCAATCCAGGTCAAAACCCAAAGGTAATAGTGGGGGAGAAAAGGCCAAAGGAAACTCTCACAAGCCAACGGGAAATCATGGGAAGCCAAATGATCGACCCAAAAAGCTCTTCAATCCTTGGGAGAAAAAGGGGGAATTATCATGCTTTTCTTGTGGAGGAAATCATATGAAACGAGATTGTCCTCAACTTGTGAAAGTCGCTGCCATCAAGGAGAATGATGGGGTGGAGAGTGAGACTCTCAAACTTGGCTCCATCCTTAGCACCATGGAGGTCAAGAAAGGCCGCAAGAAGAAGGGATTGATGTACGTAGACATCACCGTCGCAGGCCAAAAGATGAGCGCACTGGTGGACACAGGTGCCTCAGAATTGTTCATGTCCGAACAAATTGCCAAGAGACTTGGCCTTCATGTAGAGAAGGCAACGGGATCCATCAAAACCGTGAATGCCGAGGAAGTTCCAATTGCGGGGATCGCAAAGGGAATCGAGCTAACCGTCGGAGGTTGGTCCGGAAAGGAAAAACCATCAAGGTAATTCCTCTCGATGACTTCGATTTTGTTCTTGGGTTAAGTTTTTTGGACCGAATAAATGCTTTCCCAGTGCCTTTTGCCGATTGCTTGTGCATCCTGGATCCAAAGCAACAATGCATTGTTCCAGTGAGCCGAGGGCCTGGAATCGAGGCCAAGATGTTGTCCGCAATCCAATTCTCAAAGGGGGTGCGTAAAGAGGAACCCACCTTTGTGGCTTCATTGGTGGAAACTGAACCCACAATGACCGAGGAAGTCCCAAGAGAAGTGGGACAAGTATTGGTGGAATTCAAAGATGTGATGCCTGCTGAGTTGCCCAAGAAGTTACCTCCAAAGAGGGAGGTGGATCACAAGATTGAATTGGTGGAGAATGCAAAGCCACCTGCTCGGGCCCCTTACCGAATGGCTCCGCCCGAGTTAGAGGAGATGCGTAAACAACTGAAGGATCTCCTCGATGCCGGATACATCCGACCATCCAAGTCCCCCTATGGTGCACCGGTGCTATTTCAAAAAAAAACACGATGGTTCTCTATGGATGTGCATAGATTACCGAGCTTTAAACAAGCTCACGGTAAAGAACAAGTATCCCATTCCCCTCATTGCGGACTTGTTCGATCAACTTGGTGGTGCAAGGTGGTTCACCAAGCTAGATTTACGATCAGGCTATTACCAAGTCAGGATAGCCGAAGGAGATGAACCGAAGACAGCTTGTGTGACCAGGTACGGTTCTTACGAATACCTTGTGATGCCATTTGGCCTCACGAATGCTCCGGCCACCTTCTGCACATTGATGAACAAGGTACTACAACCCTTTCTAGATCATTTCGTTGTAGTTTACCTTGACGATATTGTGGTGTACAGTAAGACCTTAGAGGAACACATCGAACATTTGAGAAGAGTGTTCCAAGTCTTACGAGATAACGAGCTCTATGTTAAAGAGGAAAAGTGCTCGTTCGCTCAGAAGGAGGTTCCATTCTTAGGCCATGTCGTTGGAGGAGGCAAGCTCCAGATGGACAAAGACAAGATCCGAGCGATTGATGAGTGGAAGCCACCCACCAAGGTAACTGAATTACGAGCATTCTTGGGGTTAGCCAACTACTACCGACGGTTCGTGAAGGGCTATTCCAAGATCGCAACACCCTTGACTGAGCTACTCAAGAAGGACAAGGTGTGGGAATGGAGCACAAAATGTCAAGATGCTTTTAAAAAGCTCAAGGAGGCCATGGTGAATGAGCCCGTGTTGGTGTTGCCAAACTACACCAAGCCTTTTGTAGTCTTCACTGATGCATCCGATGTTGCCATTGGTGGAGTCCTCATGCAAGAGGGACATCCGGTTGCATACGAGAGCCGGAAGCTCAACGAGACCGAGAAGAGGTACTCGGTTCATGAAAAGGAGATGACAGCAGTTGTACACTGCTTACGCACTTGGCGACATTACTTGCTTGGGTCCAAGTTCGTGGTGTTCACAGACAATGTTGCCAACAGTTACTTCCTCACCCAAAAGAAGCTTTCTCCCAAGCAAGCTCGTTGGCAAGAGTTTCTTGCCGAGTTTGACTTTTCCTTGGAGTACAAGCCCGGGAAGGTGAACTGTGTTGCAGATGGCTTAAGCCGGAGGTATGCCATCGAGACTGTGGAAAGTACTCTCCTCAAGAGAATCAAGGAAGGATTACCCCATGATCCTGTGGCTGAACGAATCATCGAGGGAGCCAAGGAGGGGCGAACCCGAGAGTTTTGGCTCGAAGGAGAATTGTTGTACCACCGAGGCCATCGTCTCTTTGTGCCTCGATATGGGAAGTTACGCAAGGAGCTCATAAAGGAATGCCATGATTCCAAGTGGGCGGGACACCCGGGAGTTGATCGGACTATGGCCCTACTTTCGGAGCAATACTATTGGCCGCATATGGCTGAAGATGTGCAGGCCTATGTGAAGACTTGTCTTGTATGCCAACAAGACAAGATTGAGGCAAAGAAACCGGCGGGACTGCTGCAACCATTGCCCATTCCGGAACGCCCATGGGAAAGTATTTCCATGGATTTTATAATTGGCTTGCCCAAAACTGATGGACTTTCAAGTATCATGGTTGTGGTTGACAGGTTTTCGAAGTATGCGACGTTCATACCTGCATCTAAGGTGTGTCCAGCTGTAGAAGCCGCTCGACTTTTCCTTAAGCACGTGGTGAAGTACTGGGGAATGCCGAAAACCATCATTAGTGACCGGGACACACGGTTCACTGGGAGGTTCTGGACGGAGTTGTTCAAACTGATGGGATCAAGCTTGAACTTTTCCACCGCAGTTCATCCACAAACCGATGGGCAAACTGAGCGAGTGAATGCTCTGTTAGAGATCTATTTGAGGCACTATGTGAGTGCCAACCAACGAGACTGGCCAAAGCTGTTGGATGTGGCCCAATTTTCCTACAACTTGCAACGGAGCGAGGCGACAAACCAAAGTCCGTTCGAGATCGTGACTGGGCAACAACCATTGACACCCAACACGGTTGTTACCAAATATGAGGGGCCCAATCCATCAGCACACAACGTTGCCAAGGAGTGGCACGAGCAACACGACTTAGCCCGAGCTTGTTTGAACAAGGCAGGAAAACGAACCAAGAAGTGGGCAGACCGAAAGCGGAGAGACGTGAACTTTGAAGTTGGTGACCTTGTCCTTGCAAAATTGGCCAACGTTTTGCGCCATGCGGACGTGCACAAGGGGCTTGTTCGAAGATACGAGGGTCCCTTTCGAGTCGTGAAGCGAGTAGGCACCATGGCCTACAAATTGGAGTTGCCTCCAACCATTCGAGCGTATCCCGTCATCCATGTTAGCCTGCTCAAACCATACCATCAGGATACTGAGGGATCCAGATCGAGGCAAGTCACACCGAGCGCCAGTCGGAGTAGCGATCTCCTATGACAAGGAGATCCAAGATATACAGGCGGAGAGAGTTATTAGACGGCCAGGACACCGCCCAAGGCATGAGTACTTCGTTTTGTGGAAGGGACAACCCGAGTGCGAAGGGAGTTGGGAGCATGCCGAGGGACTCTGGCAATTCAAAACCGGAATAGATCAATTTCATGCCAGACGAGTGACGAGGGCGTCACCAGAACGAGTGGGGGAGAATGTCACGGACTACGAGCCCACAACCGAGGTTAGCCCATGAAGAGCAGCCCAAGTGGTGTTTTGGACCTTCTAGAAGCCACAAAGACTTAGGTGGCATTTAAATATGTATAGATAATGCCCACTTGTTTTTGGTAGGTAAAGATTAATCTCGACCGTCGATGTAATTAGATCTTAGCCGTTCATTGAGGGGAGCTTTAGCTATAAATAGAGGCCTCCCCTCCTCATTTGTACTCACTCCTTCACTTTGAGAAATCATAAGAGCATTCTTCTCTCAAAGCTTTCTTATCTTTCTTCTTGTGCTAGTTCTCTTGTCTAGCTTCCGTCGAGGTTCTAAGCATCCTTGCTTAGGATATTTTCAGGCTTACTTAGCCGCAATCACTAAGAAAGCGACTAAGGCCGCACGTTCCGAGGCGTCGAAGTTCTAAGGGCGTGACAATAAGTTCGAGCAAAATATAATATTATAATCATTTCAAACTATTTAAAATAAATTTGCTCATACAATTATTATTAGAGACAGAAGCATAATCTTATATTAAAATGATAAACTTATAAAATTTAGAATGTACAAATTTATAAAATTTAAGAAAGATAAAAATAAAATTTTAATTAAAATTTTTTAATTTATATGAGAATTTAAAATTTTACTCTGTTTTAATGATAAAAGTATTATATTTTTTTAGAAAAAATAATATTTTTCCCTAATTGGTTTACTGCTTCCTCCCTGCTTTCTCACCTACTTGGTCTGCCTTGTTTTAATAAAACAATCCGATTCAATTACCTTATCTAACCACAAGGTTATATTAAGAAAGGAGCACCTTCCTTGAACCACCGACTCGAATAAAATGTTTTCTATATATTAATTTTAATTTTAAATTTTATTATAATTGTAATGATTGAAAATTATTTAATAATTAAGTTTATTAAAATAAAAATATATAAATTAAAATTTGTTTTTTATCTCTATAAATAGATGCTAAAGATTATTAATAATTAAATTAAATTTTATTATAATTTCAATAATCGAATACTTTTTCTAGATTCAATGCATGATTCCCAAGATTGCATTGCAGCCGCTGGTTCTTCTATTTTTATTTAATTATCTATAATTAATTAATTAAAATTGAATATTATAATCATAGATATTTTAAACACCTTTATCAGTCAGATTACACATGTAAGATTTGAATAATACAAACACTTTATTTAATTTATTCATTCATTAATATATTTTAATTTATAAAGATGTTACTGTCCTAAATACTATATGGTTAAAATTTGCTCAAAGTCCATGTACTCTTCATACATTTAGAATTTAGTTCTTTCACTTTTATTTTCAATTATTTAATCTCTTTACTTCTCATTTTTAAAAAGTCAAATTTATTGTATATATACATAGAGAGGTCAACTATACAATTATTCACGTGTTGGTTGAATAGAATATTTATCATTTTAAAATCAGCTTGACCCGAATCCAAAATTTAGAAGAAAAAAAAACCAACCCTATAAGATTAGATTGAATCAAATCAATATCTATCAAATTTAGATCAAATAATCATCTTTAATTACTATAATAAAATAATCTTATTATAAAATCTTACATTAGCGAAGGTGATATTATTACATAAACTGAACACGCCACTGAACATGAGAACATCCGATACATAGACGATATAGCGAACAACAGAGAGAGAGAGATAAACAACCAATTAACAAAGAGACTAAATTTTGGAGGCCTAACCATCCCAAAATGTTTATTTTACACACACACATATATATAAAGTATCTCCTGCAAGCTGCAAATTACTTCATCCATCTCATCTCACCCTGCAAAAAGTTCACAAACACGCATATAAATCATTTAATTAATCTCTAAACCGAATCGAAATTAAACAAATTAGATCCCGACACCAATTATAAGTAGAAGGGTACCTGTTGCAATTAGTAGAGAGGCTGATCTTGAAAGGAATTCTAACACCGCATTTAGCAGGAAGGCTCTCAGCCAACCTATAATTGACACCAGAGATTCTCCTCGCGGTGTTTTGCAAGCATCGGCACACGGTTCGTCGGTCACGGGTGGTTCTAGCTCGCCTGTTTAGGTAATGAACTCCATTGCAGCAACCTCTCGATGGCCTTCTTCCACCTCGGTTCTGCAAGTACCCAATGCATCCGGCCGCAAGTCCCACCACGTCTCCGCATGTTAGGGCGGTTGTGGCCATTGGTTCAACCACTAACATGAACAAGATTAGACCACAAACGAGCTTGAGACCAGCCATGGAGGGTTCAAATGAAAAACAATTGGAGATGGGTATTGATTCTTTTAGGAAGGTGAGTGAGTTGATTAGGGTTAAGGCATTGGGTTTATATAGATGAGGTGTAGGAGCTTGGAAAGAGAGAATGTAGATGAGTAGGGTTTGGTAATAGCGGGTTTTCATTGAACTTAAACTGTTTATGCATGCAGATTTTACTTCAGTTGACACTATTTAGTGAGTAATGCAATGGTGGAGGTTTATACTAGACATATACCTTGACACATAGATCATCCTAATTGTTTATCTTGTACATATATGCAAAAATAATAAAACGAAAATGTTAGGTGTGGGACATTAAAATATTTAAGAAAGAGCATTTACTTTAATCGTGTTTCCTCTACCCTAGGATGAAGTCCTATATACAGCTGGTGTTGACGTACTTATCCGGTTATGGCACAGCTTGTATTGCCTTGCCTCTACGGCATGTTAGATGCAAAAGAGTGATTGGTGAAGGAAGTCCAGTTCGTAGAGCACCGACATGCCCATACCTTACAAAGACTATGACGTGTGGTTCTATGCCGACATGGTAATGATGTTTAATGGTTCTTTAGACTAATTTTCTAATTTCCATTCGTATATTTATAAGGGTTTTAAGAAAAATATATATATTTAAAAAGTGAATTTTAAAAAATGAATTATACGTGACTCGACGTTTAAGTTGAGGACGGTTTATTTTTTTAATTATATATCATAGTTAATTTTAATGAACCGTTAAAGTAAATAATTGATTCTTTAGAGTAATTTTTTTTATTTTTTCCCTAAAGCATTATTTTAAACGATGAATTAGTATCATTCTCTCTGTTTTTTTTATTTAGATATAAAGAAACATTCTCCTCGTTTTCATTTTTCCCTTTTTCATATATTTTTAAAACGTTTATTTTCGTGTATATATATATATATATATATGTCTTTATGACATGTTTGTTTATATGCTTTTATGACACGATTTTATATATCGTTATAATAGTTTGACGTTACGTATTATCACAAAGCACTTTCTAATAATGACTCAGGAGAGATCTAAGGTCTTGTATAGTTACTCCTTTTGCAATAGTTTTTCGATGCATCCAAAATCTTTCATAGAATAATATGTCAAATTGATTTTCTCAATCTTCATGCCTTCATCAATGTTGTGTCTAAGTTCAAATAGAGCATAGAGATCATTTATAGTTGCTAAGGTATTTTAGAAGATTAGACATATATTCAAGGGAAGGTTTTAATTTTTATTTTTCTTCATGTTTGAGAAAAACTAACTTTTATTTAAAAAATTAAGTAAATTATTACTAAATTATGCTAAAATAATCATTAAATTTATGGAATTGTTATAAAATGATCTTTAATCTTAACAAAATTTATGGTTATTTTGTAACATATAATGATTAATTTTATAACAATCCATAAATTTAATAATCATTTTACAAATTCTACAACTTTTCTAACTTCGCCTTTCTAAATAATACAACTTCAAAGGATCTACCAAACTCACATTTCAGACAGCAACTCCAGGAAAAACCAAAACTGGGAACATGCATGCATAACGAACACAAACCAGCATGATTTTTTTATTTATTAATTCAGCCAGGAGTACTTCACTCTGGATCTTGTGGTCCTTCACTCATCTCCGACATGTCAACTAATTTCGCCAACTTGCTTAATATGTTTTCTTCTATACCGGAGCTACCGACGACGTCTTTCTTTCCTTTGTCATTCGGAGTACGACCCCACAAAGATTTACGTGCAGCCGGGAATCCTATAATACAATAGCTTCATGCATAAGACATTTCTCTACCCAAAATCCCATACTCCGAGTTGTGCTCCGGTGACAGTGTAGACACACCAGAGGGTTTTTATTGGTGCAGTACTAACATGGGAAAAGCTCTTCCATTTCACTGGCACAAAACATAGGCTATTAAGGTTTCAGGGTTTAGCAATTCCAATCAGCATTCTCTTTCTCCTAAACATCATCATGCCCATCATGATCAAATAAACGAGTTTATGCATCGTCTTTACAATCACATCTCCAACCGTAAAACATAACTCGGAATCAAACAAAAACAATCAGACATGACCTTAAGTCTACTTCCAGTAGGAGAAAATACGTACGTAAGTCCAAGCAGATTCGATCACGAGAGATTTTTAAGCTAACAAGTGGTAACTTGCTCATATCTTAACGATGCAAATTCATATTTAAACAGACATGAAACATACCAAAAAGAAAAAGTGAAGTTGCAGTATGATGTATTAAGAGTAAGTGACTGCCGGTTGATGATTCAGCTGAGTTTGGTTGCAGGTTGTCAAAGCTGTTACGTTTTCTGTTTTGGGTACCAGTATTTTGTTTTCTGTTACGTTTTCAGCCTATTGCTTCATGATTGGGTCATAGAAACATTTGGACTATATAAATTGAAGAAGAGTAAGGGGCCTAGGTCTAGTATCTTGTTGCCGACATTTTCTTTCAGCCGTCTCTTTTCCTTCCTTTATACGTTTCATCTTCTAATAGTGTTTATATCTGGATGTTTGATACAATGGATTGATTGACTGTATTGAGTGTTGTGCATTGGAATTATAATCACAGATAAGTTCGGTGTATCATTTCATGTGCTGAATATAATTGCTGATCAAGGTTATTCATTTTTTACCCTCTCGTGTTATCTTCTTCTAACCTCTCAACAGCACCCCTCGGTCCATCTCTTCTTGTTGCTCTCTGGTGGCCACACTATTGGATTGTTATAGTGCTCCATCTTTAGGAATAGAATATACAATGCAATCAGTATCGAGCCTACTGCTAGACGACAAAGAGTGACTTGCCCACGTGACGAACTTATGAAATTTTAAGAGAAAAAATAGTTAATCAATAGAAAATAAAATAGACCATCAATAAAAAACCCTAAATTATAGGAGATCAATTTAAATTTTTCAGAGGAATTATCATCTCCACCAACTTTTTCCTCGATCTATCTCTGACTAATCTTGCTCCGGCCAAATTCGACACTGCATCCTTCAAGAAATTAGTGAAGCAAAGGGGTTTACTCACCTCAGATCAAGCACTTTTAATGGTGGATCGACTGATAGATTAGTGAAGTTTTACAGTTCAAATCTCGATGTTTTCTAGGATGATTTTGCAAAGTCTATAATACCTTTAAATGGTGCAATGGTGCCTTATGCATTGTTTGATTCATTCTATTCGATTCAATTCGATCAAGCGCTCATCTCTAGTCAAAGCTGAATTATGAAACCTGCAAGTAGCTTTAGAATGTTTGTTTTTTAGCAGCCTCGTGTGTGTTCGAAGTTCAAAAAGAAGTGAATATTGGGCGTAGCTTGCTTGAACACCCAACCCTTAAATGCGATATTAGTAAAAGATAACAAATTAATGCAATCTTTCCATTTCCATGCAGTTCCCACGTATGTCTCTCTATCGAGAACCCCATCAAGATTAAGTAGATTTATTATCGAGATAATTAATATAACGATAATAAAAGAAGTTTTAGAAGAAAAAAAAAAAGAATTTATTATCGTGTCATAGAGAAATTATTATCTTCTCTATTATCTTAGTAAAGATTTTATCGATATCAATGTCTTTAATCATTCCATCCAACAACTATCTTTTTTAATCCAATCCTTTAATAAAATTATATAAGTTTTTTATGGATGATACAATTACTTCATCCTTTATTTGTAAAATATATTTTTAAATAATATTTATTCCGTCATTCTAAATAATATAATCCATACATTTTGATTAAATAAATTAATATAATATTTTTAATAATATATATTTCATAAATATTATTATAATAATTATATTGAGACAGATTACATATTAAATTCGATTTTACTTTTTGTTTTATTTATAAAATATAATTTTAAAAATTCAAATTTGATATAATTAAAGTTTTTCCATCTATTTTAATTTTAAGTTAATCTAATTAAATGAGATATAATTTATTAGTTTGATATCGTATACCAAATAGCAATTCTATCTTAGGTGCATGTTGAATCATTTTAGCGGTCAAATCCTAAAGAACGTAGTCAGGTAAGGTTAGCAAAGGAATTAAGGAAGCAAATTAAGTTGAATAATGAATAAGGAACTGAAATTATAAAGCACGAGCTTATCCATAAAACGTATAGTGAACAAGGTCAGGCCCGTGCACCTTTTCTTGCCGGCCAACCGCCGGCAGCAGCGGCCAAAGAAGACCGTTGGAGATAAAAGTAATACACGAAACCTTGAACAGCGTTTTTTATGTAACTAGAAATCTTTGTGCAGTCACATAAATAAACATTAGCAGACAAGGGTGAATGTTCGTCGGGCGTTTTGAATGGCGAAGACCAACTTCTTTGAGCTGGTAAACAAAAGGTAGCTGTTATATATGGAACAATTCCAAACCCATGCAGCTGTCTAGCTATAAATATCAACACCCACCAACCCAGCAATCACAGCAAAACCTCGAAGCTATCGAAAATTAAGCAAATCTAAAGCCTACTTACGTACTTCTCATGGCTTCTCCCACTAACTTCCTTCTTCATGCATTTCTCTTGTTGGCTCTTGCAACCACTTCCTTTTCCTTATCACCCAAATTTTACGATAAAATTTGTCCCCAAGCTTTGCCTGCCATCAAGAAAGTAGTTGATGCTGCCGTCCACCGTGAGCGACGGATGGGAGCCTCTTTACTTCGTCTGCACTTCCACGACTGCTTCGTTAATGTAACTTGATTCGTTTCACGCCCTTTTTATGTTTATTTTATGTGATCATGAACTCATTGTATTGTATTGTATTGCAGGGCTGTGATGGTTCACTTCTTCTGGATTCTACACCTGCTTTCGAAACCGAGAAAAATGCACGTGGGAATTTGAATTCTGTGAGAGGGTTTGAAGTTGTGGACCAAATAAAGGCTGAAGTGGATAGAGCTTGTGGACGACCGACTGTCTCTTGTGCTGATATCTTAGCTGTGGCAGCTCGCGACTCAGTAGTTGCGGTAAAGTCCGAATCTTTTATCAATCGAATTATAGAAAAAAGAAAAATGCAGTGTTTAATTTGTAAATGTAAATGATAATGGTTGCAGCTTGGTGGTCCGACATGGAAGGTTCGGTTGGGTAGGAAAGACTCAACCAC